AATGACTTACTGGAAACTTCTCAGACCTCTGCTACTGATTAATGCCTCATTCTTCTATGGGCACAGTGAGAGAGGGTTTGAGAAGGGAAGAGACAGAAAGACTAACTTTTATTTGATCCAAGGTCATTGAGTGACCAGCTGCAAGGCCCTCTATCTACCCCTGGGATTGGTCTTCCTATTGGACATCCTGTCCCTGATGAATTGTCACTCGTCTCATTTATGATCACACAGAGGAAGTAGGACGCTGGCAGGACACACCCACTTTGTCCTCGCCCAGCCAATCGGCTCGCTCCAGTTGTCCAGCATCCTTCGCACTCAGAAAACCACAGCCGCCACAGGAGCTTTTTTTGTTTGTGTCCTTCCTTCCCTAATCTCTGACCACACACACTTGTTCACTTGTGACAGGCCACCGATGCCTCTTGGCCTCAGCCCAGCCACCCCCCACATCTTCTGCACTGCCCTGAGACATCTGTGTGATGTGAGGCAAATGAGTACTAAAGCTGAGGGAACTTCAGAGTGTAATACTGGAACAGAACAAGGGGGCCCACACTGCAGAGTTATAAAGCAGGCAAACATCTAGACGTACAACATCACTCTCTTTTGCAGACAAGCTCTCATAGCTTTCAAAGCTCTCCTTTTGTAATTGTTACGTTTATTCTGGTTTGTTTTGTGTTTGTGTCTTTTATTTTAAATGTATTTATTGTATGTTTTGTGAGCTGAGCTGTGTGATTTTATATGTTATATATCTCTCTGTACAGCACTTTGGTCTGGAGGTTTTAAAGTGCTATATAAATAAAGTTGGATTGGATTGGATAGCATGACCATGGACATTACTTACATGCATGCTTGTTTTTTCTGTCTGCATGGAGGAAGGGAAGGACAGACCCGAAACTCATCTTATCCAAATATCTGTGATTCCTTCTAGACATGAGGTTTGTTCATTGGGAAATGGAGAGGATGTGATCTCACCCAATCAAAATCCAACCTATGTTATGGCTTAATGTAGGCTTCCCCTTTGTGCTTAGTGTCCCTACCCCCCACATGTAGAAAATGAGTCCTGTTGCTAAAATTGCAAATGTTCACTGTTGAATCAAAGAGTTTCGGGAACGTCTCTATCCAATTACAACACAATCTTCCTACCAACACCTCTACAACTCACTGAAGTTTGCTTACTAATTATGACTGGAGAATCAGGTCTACATAATGACTGCAGCAGCATTTAGCATCACAAGCCTTCATGTCTTGTTCTGGCACCTTATAGAACTCCTTTTCTTTTAAGTTTTCCTCTCCCCTCCTCAGTCAGCTATTACTCCTGAGTGCATGAAGGAGAATAGGGCAATATTCTCAGAGGCTCTGGTAGGAGTGAGGGATGCAAGCTGCCGGACATCAGACTTGTATACAGATTTAAAAAGGAGGGGGGACATTCAGCAATGACCGAGGCCCAAACTGTAGAAAAGAAACCCTGTTGTGTTCAAGACCCAGACGACTAAAGACCAGGCCCGGATGCTGCTATCTGTCCAGTCATTGTCTCCTCAAATGATGGCATTTCAGTTTGAATGATTGCTTTCACTTTAGCCAAAACATTCCTGAGACACAGTGTGGAAAACACCCCCTCTTTCCTACGCTGATTTGACGGCACTCTATTGGTCTGCTAATCGAATTGCGTAGTAGCAAATTAGCCACAGGGCCTACAATCACATCTACAGGGTTGGTGGTGGGGGTTACTCAAAAACTAAGCATTAACACATGCAAAAAATATAATGATGAGATGGTGGGTAGGGAAAACCACAGAAGCTGTTAAGAGCAGCGCAGATAAAAACAGTTATTTCTCAGATCCTGATCATGATTTGCTGAACAACTCCTGGAAGCACCATCTACAGTATTCCAATTTTCCCATCAGCCACTCTGCAGTGAGTGAGTGGCAGTGAAAGGACGGCTTTGATGTGTGACATTTGCGATAGAGGCCTGCTGATAGCTTGACCAGAATAGCATGTGAAAGAGCAAGAACATGAGACGGCACATGAACATCTATATCGCCTTCTTTTCTTGTTTGGTCCACTTGCAGTGGGGTGTAATCAGTTGATGTGAAAGCATATAGTATGCAAACATGTGACAGACAGAAGCCACTTTATCTAGCCCACTGGCCCAGCTATCACTCAGTACTGGGAGGAGTGTTCACCGCCATTCACACCACAGCATTCCTGCCATAGCATCCTCTTTTCCACTGTCAGTAAACCCAAACAGCTAGCTTAACTCAGAGCACATGGGCAACCTGTAATCAAGCTCGGCCCTGAAACAGGCATGTCAAAGTAAATCCTGTGTTTATATCTGAGTGAGGCTTCCCTCATGGAGCGACCTACGCAGGAAACACATAACATGATGTTAAGCTTCAATCCAATCTGTGGGATTAAAGATTTTGACGATCACCCTCGGATCCTTCTCTTCCTCTTTCTTTGTCTCTTTCCCTTCATATGTGGCAGTTTGCCCATCTCCGGGCCCCTGTGTGCTCTGGTGGGTTCAGTGGACTGGTATGCAGCAGGAATCTTTGGATCAAGGTGATTTCACGCTCCTCCACGTTTTCCCAGGGCTTTGAGCGCTCTCTGTTACCTCTGCGCAGCCCAGAGTGTGTGATAGCGGCTGACGTGTGTTATCATAGGACACATACACAAACAGCAGCAACAGGGTAAGGCTGCTCTATCTATCTAACACCTTTGTTTCCCTCAAGTGTCATGCTTTGACTTTCTCTGGTATGGGAGGCTTCTTTGGGCTATTGCTGAGAGACCCCCTTTGGACAAAAACACTAAACCATGGGATTTGTCAGCACCTTGATCAACAGACAAAGGGATAACCCTCCGACATGAAATCTCAATTTTAAGATGGATCCTCTCAAACATTCACCCCCTTTCTTTGAAGTAGAACTAATCTTGCTAACCTTGACATTCCCACAGAGACAGTTCCCACTCTCACTCCACAGTCTGCTCTCATAATAGCCCCACAGTGCTCTTTTTTACTCAATGAAACTCCATATCTCATTCAGCTCTTTGGTGGCAACTGTGAAAGGGGTCAAGTTTGAGAAGCTGTTCCAGTGAGAAGTGTTTCAGTTCAACTACTGAACTGACTGTAAATATACCTACACATGATCGGAAGCAGCACATTTAGATGCCTGAAATTGAACTGCATGTTTGATGCCTTTTGATAAAGAATGTAGCACTTACAGCTGCACAGAGAAAACCCATGGAACGGAAATGGCCTTTAGGGATCCACAATGATAGGAACATTACAACATCATGACATCCTCTTCTATTATTATCCTAGCTTTTTTCGATTAGATCCTGTCTTAGAAGAACAATAAAACATCCTGAGCACTCTCTGTAGATTTGCATGTCCATCCTCATACTTTGCCAAAGGACTTCCTTATGGAAAAAAAAATCCTGGAAAGGGATCAACATACTGTCCACACCCTTCTCCATGAGGATGTAAGCAAAATCACACTGCGTTCCAAGGATCTCAGCTCATGTGGCAGGACTATGACCTGATTAAAAAGTACCAATGGTTTCAGAGAGACTATGTACTGACTTTTTTGCAAAGGCTATCACATGTGATTAGATAATGAACCTTTACTAACAGTTATGCTATAATAAAGAAAGTCTAGTGTCTCTGTACATTGACACTATAGTTTAAGATACTGTATAAGCATGCACACATAACACAGTTGAGGCTCATAGGAATTCATTTAGCAAGTTAGCAAGCCTAAGTGAGTACATTTTGGACAAACTAAATTACAATCCAATCTGGTTATGGCGCTTTATAAACAATATGGATCACAAAGGTGGTTTCAAATCATTGAGAAGGAACCATGAATACTTTTTGACAATTAATTCAGTAGCTATTGAGAAATGCAACCCAAACCAGCAAATGTGAAACTCTCAGTGACGGTGGAGTTTGAGAAAAGTCAGAGGATCATCAAAGTCACGACGATTCAGAGGAACCATGAATGTTTTTACTACATTTCATGCCAATCCAGGAAGTATTTGTCCAGATATTTCAGGCTGGATCAACGTGTTTTGTGCTTTAATTTTCCTACATAAAAAGAATGAATATAGATGTGCATCTGTAAAGGACTGTTTCCAGTCTTTTGAGCTAAATATTAGTTGGCACAGAGATATGTTGATACTTTTTGAACTGAGAAGCAGATCATTTAATGCACATAGTAACCTGTAAGTTGGCAGCAGAGAGCAACATGATTGAGAACTATTTATGTACTAATGTCTGCATGGATGCTAGGAATCTTTTCTGTCATTCTAGATATACAGGACTGATGGCAGACAGTGCAAAGTGCTGATTTGTACCATAAACTGCATATAATAATGTCAACAGTCTATGATTTGTACACTAGTGATGTGGCATTTTTCCAGTTTTCAATACAGCAGTGTTCTTGTTGATATTCACTCTTGTGCTGCCTTCAAAAAGGATTTATGAAATATTTATTTTTACAATAACCTAAACATATTTGACCATATAGTGCAGGACATATATGGTGATTACACCCCAACCCACGTTATAAAAACGTACATCTGCTGCCCTAAACATCTTAGCTATTCGTCCTGTTTTTATCATTATACTCATTCTGCACTAGCAGTGTGCTTTGATTACAATAATAAGCAATTATGCTATCTTAAAATAAGCTCTCATATGTAATTAGTATAGGTTCATTGTAGTCATTATCCTATATTTCATGCAGAGGCACCATACAAGTAGGTCTAAAGTTAAACCATAGACTGTATATAAACCAGTTGTGAAACAGATGAGGCCCACGTCACAGTCGAGGTCTGCCTCTTTCAAAGTATTAGGAAAGTAGAGCGAGACCGGAAGCTCAGCCAACAGTCCATAGAACACCACCAGTTACAAGAGAACGGATAGTCCCACAGCGGCTTTTATTTTGAAAGCTGTTGCCGGATGTTGTATTCTTCGTTGTACCCGGTTTGACTCGGAGCAGGATCAGGCAGCGCACACTGAGCGCAGAAGAAGAAGCAACAGTGAGGCAGGAGGACGGACTGGAGCCAACCCCCAGCAGCAGTCTCAGCCTCATGCTTCATCCTGGGCACTTCTCCTCCTCCTGTCGACAATATTGTGACAATATTTATTTTTGTATCTGTCTTATCTAGTCACAACAACAAAAAAAACACAAAAAGAAAGTGGAAGGAGGAAGAAGGGGCCCGAGTCATGGAGCTTTATTGCATGGAGTCGGACATAGCCGTGAGAGCCCAGCCTGACCCAAACATCCTCTATGATGACAGAGTGTTGCAAAGTTTATTAACTATTGAGGAAAGGTTTTTACCTCAATGCACGTATTTCCAGCGGGTCCAGAAGGATATTCAGCCTTATATGAGACGAATGGTTGCAGTTTGGATGCACGAGGTTTGTTGGCATTTTCTGCATTCATGAGCTAACTGCTTTAGCTAATTTCTTCTTATTGCATGCTGACTTACATCTTTTTAAGTTACTGTATGTGTAGAACACACGTTTTTGTTTAGTTCAAGGGGAGTAAACAAGGATGTTATTTGACAATTGAATGAGAATGACTCACCAAAGGCGTGGGAGAACGGAAATTCCACCACGAAGAAAATTCAGCTTCAAAGAAATAGCCTAGCTAGATATTTACATTGGTTAACATCTGCAAAGTTGAAGCTTTTTGCTAACTAACTATAGCTCAGGCGACAGAGGGGAAGTTAATCTTAATTTACATGATCGAAAAAGTGACTGTTCCTCTTTTAATTAATTATTATTAATTATTTTAAACTGCTCAAGCTCGTTGGCTCTGCTATAGCACCGTGCATGCAACACTACTTTAATTTTTCAAGATGAAATCACGTCATGTTTGCAAAGTGTTCTGGTTTTTAACTGTCGAGAAGTATTTGAACACAACTTCTGAAGATTGTGCACACGATTTAAAGCTCCTACATGATTTATTTTCATTTTAAACATTTTTTTAAAGATGGCAAGCCCTAACAAGGAAGAGGAGTTGAATGGCGACGTTTTGCTGAACGACTTCCTATGAACTCATTTGTAACTCTGCTTTTCACTGACTTTGCTAAGTGTTTTAATTACTTATTTAACCTTTAATCTACAGACAACATTAGCATGGGAAAATCACATTCTTCAAGTAACCACCCCCATCTTCCACTGCTGATTTGCTTTGAAGCTTACAAAAGTGTAGCCTACTTTTTCTTTTTATATGTGTTTTAATATTGCATCAAATTAAAGTGTTCTGTTCCATTTTTCTGTCTCATTTTAGGTGTGCGAGGAGGAGAAGAGCAATGAGGACGTCTTTCCTTTAGCTATTAATTATTTGGACAGATTTTTAGCAGTGACACCCACAAGAAAGACTTATTTGCAGCTTCTGGGAGCTGTGTGCATATTCCTGGCCTCCAAGCTAAAGGACTGCAGGCCGATATCAGCAGAAAAGCTTTGCGTGTACACAGAAGGCTCCATCTCATCACGAGAACTGCTGGTAAGTATAGGATATCCCACCCCAACCCCATTCATGTTCACAAGAACATCAAAATGCAGAGTCATATTTTGGGAGATTTTCTTATGCTAATAGCTGTATTGGTTTCACAGGAAGTATCCCATGCTCCTTATAAATGGAGCTGTGCACAATATAGCCACATCCTTTTTTGGGATCCACGAGGACTGGAGAGGCGTGTGTTGCCATCTAGTGCCAGTTATGCAGTACAGGCCTGGGATATCTAGTGCATAGCCTTCCTCTCTGCTTCAGTTGGTTATATGAATTCTCCCCCCCCTGGAAAAGCATCAACAATGCTATTTATTTCTAACCTTAACACATTCATTTGAGTAATAGTTAAGAGAAGCATATCTCTAAATAAATGTACATTTACTCCCTAATTAGCATCTTATTAAACGTGAAGCTGTTGTTTTTGAGAGCTAAAATGTAATTGTTTTTATTGTTATATTATATTTTCCTTTTTCCAAAGACAGACATATTAGGTTCATCAAACAATCAACAAGCTCTTCTTACAAACTTGTCCTGAGGCTTTCCACTGAATCACACACTCATCATCAGCAGATTCATTATGCTCATTGGCAATGGACCTGCATATTAGATGTTTTCCATGATTCAGAGATTACTAATAGCATTTCAGGGAAGAGATGAAGAAAAGCAGAACAGACTATGGTTATCCATTGACGGGAACATAGTTCCAAGTACATTTTCAAAATATATGTATAACCTTTGGAGGTTTTGGTGGTTGAGAAAAACAAATAATTTAAGGCAAAGCATACAATTGTGATACATAAAGAAAACAATTCACTACGACTTGCAGTATAATAAACAAAATATGGTAAATTAAGAAAGTAATCGTCAGTTAAGAAAAAGCAGCAAATCCCCCCCCCCCCCCCCCCCCCCCCCCCCCGGGCCATTTGAGAATCTGTGACCTGGTGATGTTTGGTATTTACAATCTGTTTCTTATTTTAGCCAAACAGCTCCACATGCTCTATACATCATGTGTCGCCTGCAGCCGTTGAGGGAAATGACATTCTTCCCATTTGATCCTCCATATTGTCCTAAGACTCCAGATTCCTGGATATCCTGTCAGGATGCACAGAGAAGGGCGTAAGAGTCGCTCAAAGATGTTGCAGCTCTTTGTAATGAATACTGAGGCTTCAGCTGCAACAGAGGAGTTACAGGGGTTGAATGTGTTGGGGGGGGCAGCTGTGCAGGAAGTGAGCGCAGCGACAGCAAACCTCCGCCCCGCTCATCTCAATCTACCCAAGTGCTAAAATAGGTTAAATGCAGGCATGTGTTCTGTAGGTTATGTACAGGAAACCCACGTAAATGAGAATGATGTTTCAGATGACGGATAAGCGTTGAGTGAAGGGCTGGTGGGGGGGGGGGGGCGACTGTCCCTGTAGGCTTTGGGTTTTCAGTGTACATTTGCTTGAATTGCTACATTAGGATACCTAAAGTACACTACAATTAGTCTTTATTTAACTTGATCTTTCTTTAACTAGCTGCCACAGTTGTGTGTAGCAGTGTTGAAGTCTTGGGAGACCAAGAGGAAATATGTCTGGAATGATTCAGTTTGATGAGCGATGTCTAAATGAAATCGACTTTTAAAGATGTAAAAGTATGTGTCAAAATGTGTACAGCAGATATCTTACACTGTAGTTTACAATGTAAGATATCTCTCGTCTTTACTTGTGGGGATCTGAAGAAAATCTCATTTGTAAATTAGCACAGCTTGACAATGGAAACCTCGAGGGAAGCCATCTTCTTGGATGGTTATTTTGGTAAAAATAATGGAGTATTATTAATAATAATAACACATGGGATTTTGATAGCGCTTTTCCTAATGCTCAAAGAAACAGTAGTCCTAATCCACTGTTTCAGATAATAACATTAACGGCTCATTATTTGTCTGAGATTATCTAATCAATTTATCTCAGTTTCAATTTCTCTAGGTCTGTAGGTTTACTTTTTAAACATGTGTTTTCTATAGATTGCCTCATCACACAGGAAATTAAATCATGAACCCTGTACACCTCTCTTGCCGCTGCTGTATGAATAGTCGGCTTTTTGCTGCAGCCTGTGCAAACTCACTGTGGCTGTTTGAGGCTTGTGACAGGAAGGAAGGGGCTAGCTGTCTCATTGGCAGGGCAAAGCTTGTCACATGCCGGCGTTATGAACACAAAGGATGTGAGGAATGAGAAAGGCACGCAGATAATAAGATACAGCGAGGAGAGATAAAGTGAAAAAATGTTACTCTTCTTACAGACCCATTTCCTCTGTGATCTTCTTCACGGTCAATGGAGGCATGGCAGCACGCCATTTAAACCTCTGACTGAGGAGATTCTGACCCTACTTACCTTTCTCATCTTCTCCCCTCTCTTCTAGGACTGGGAGCTGGTCGTGCTGGGCAAGTTGAAGTGGAACATGGCCTCAGTCATCCCCAATGATTTTATAGAGCATATCGTACGCAGGCTGCCCCTTCCCAAAGAAAAGCTGGCGATAGTCCGCAAACACTCAGAGACATTCATTGCCCTCTGTGCCACAGGTAAAGTTACCTTTTTTACATTCATTCATATAACTGACGCTTTTATCTAAAGCAACTTACAATAAGTGTCACCGCTGCAAATCATCTCATGAACCTTTTCTGATTTGTTCGCTCACACGTTGACTTTTCTGCTATGCAATTCCCATATCCACCAGAATATTCTCACACACTCAAACATTCTCCCATCGTGAGTCATCTGTGACCTCTTTCTTCTTTCCGCATACTCTGCCGGCTGCTTTATCCACTTTCTAGTCCCAGCCTGTAGTAGGGCTTTTTCTTCACATCTGCTAAAAGCTGCCTAAAGTGGTTATTAAAACATTTATCTTTTAAGTGTCTGGGAAAAATCCTATCGGTGCTCTGTTTAGATAAACCACTGTTAATGACAGCGATTTTATCGTACTGTGTACTCTCCTGTAAGCCCCAGGTGCTGCCTGTATTGTTTGTTGACGGGGAAGCTTCCAGGTTTAAAAAGTCAGGGCAGTGATCCTCCTCCTTCCTCTTCCCATTCCAGCCTTATGTCCAAAATAAACTCTGGAGAAACACAAACTCAGATGTTCCCTTAGGCCTCTCTCTAGGTGAATTTTCCTAGCATGCCTTTGCCTAAACTAGGAATCCCTCTAATATGTTCATATCCTGGACATAAATACTACAGCAGGATCCCCCAATACGCATAATGAGCTCGGTCACAAGGATGCCTTTCACCTGTTACCTTTCGGCTAATTCAATGAAGGAAATAAAACAAAGGAGGTCACTTGAATGAAGAGTGCAATGAAGTTCCTCCTCACAAATGTCAGTGTGGTCAGATTTGACCAATAAGCTGTTCTGGTTAGAATTTGGTTATTGGAACCGTAGGCTCATTCAATTTCATGCCCTGTTTAGCACAGTTTTAGTGTCACACCTTTTTTTATTAATATATTTGGGTGTGTTTCAGTGGTGGCTTCTGCTTTTCATAAGCAGCTGGTTATATCAAAGCACAAAGCAGCCGCAGTGGAAAAAAAGAGGCCTCCTGTGGTTGTGCAGTAATGTAAATGTTTGGAGTTTTATATTGAGTTGAGATGTTATTCTTATGATGGAGGAGCTCCTCCTATGGACAGCTGGCCCCTGGAGGAGGAGATGGGCGTAGTGAAGCAGGCTGCTCTCCGGGGTTTAATCCAAGCTATCAGGAAACCACCATGGGTTAGGACTGGGCTACGACTATGTGCTGGATTGGACATGTACAGCACTTAACAATTGTGTGTGCCAAGTCTCAGCCTTCTTTAACTTTGGTCATCTCCACGTGATGAGACCGGAAGAAGCTCGTGTATTGTAATGGTGGAAAAACCCCTCCAGGGGCAAAAACATCCTGAACTCCACAAGTTGTGAGAAACTCCTCAATATAAGGGCTGTGTGTATTTCTGAAGAAACATGCTAGAAGATTAACACTGGGTTTCATTCAAAGCATTCAAAACACTTACTGTTTGAACTTGTCATTTCTCAGTTGACTTATCTATCAAACAACAACTGTGCTCCTCAGACTTCACTTTGTTTGCCAGCTCATAACATTTACCCTAGTTAGCAACTAGAGGGTATTTAGTAACCATCTTTGTTCCATAAATTCCTATTGGACCTGACAAACAATCACTGTACACATAGTAAATATGTTCATGCATGAAACATGACTTCGACTACCCCTTCTTTGAGATCAGATGTTCTCAGTTCCTCTGAAAAGGTTTTCCTTTGCAGCTTTGTAAAAACATGTTACGAGGAAACTCTTGGCAAGCAACTTTTAGACTCCTAGTGGTCTGATACGATGCTTTCAAGTGTCCCGATTAAATGAAAACAACAGTTGAGGCGAGATAGAAAACCTTGGAAAGCAGCTTAGCGCAGAGTTGTACTCTCTCCTCCTCGATCCAGGCCTGTTGTCGTTTAAGCCTTTAGACTCGAATACGTACCAGAGGGAGTCGTTCCAGGAACTCATTGCGCTTTGAGTAGGAGGATTCCTACTCTGCTTTTCCAATCAGTTAAATTCTTAAGAAGGAAACCACGTAGGTTGCATTGTGCAACTACGTCTGAGGAAATTCACACTGTGGGAAAGTCAGCTTCAGCTGTGCAGCATGCGTTTTGAGGATGATTCAGATGTTTGCACCTCTTTTACATCTGTCATACTTCCTCTGGGCTAATTAAGTGTTCTCATCATAGCAACAAACGTGATATTCGTACATCATTGCAGTCTGAAGCTTATGCCTGACTAATTAAATTAATACTCCTTCCTCTCCAGATGACCGCCTTGCCATGAACCCTCCTTCCATGATCGCCACTGGCAGCATGGGAGCTGCTGTCTGCGGCCTGCAGCTGGACCAAAGCGACCCAAGGCTGAGTCGAGACAATCTGACAGACCTGCTGGCCAAGATCACCAACACAGAGGTGGTGAGTACACCAGTGGATGAAATGTATACTTTCCAGAAGTAATCACTGAGGAGTTTTAGTGCTCCACAACAATGCATTGTTAATAATAATCATTGCACCATCTCACGACAGCAGTATAAAAGGCCCTTCGGTAAACTACAGTGATGCCTTTAGTAGTGACACATTGAAGCTATTTACTTTTCATGGAGAGAGAGCGTTTGGCTCTTGGCTGTGGAGCCAGACTGCTGCTATAAAGAGCAGCGGCAGTGGGAATGTCTTCTTAAAACTCAGAGCCCACATTCTTGTGGTAGGACACATGCAATTTCTCTGCAAGGCTCCCACTTCAGCTGCCTGTTTGCCCCTCCTGGTGGAAGAATATGTTCGTAATGAACTCAAGAGCGTCTTCCTGAGCAAAGGCCTGATGAAGCTATCGGCGTACATGCACAACAACACTTGTAAATGTTTGCATTGACTTGAATCAATTAATCAATAGTCAATGTGCAATACTGAGCATTATAGAAAGTTAATGGAGTTTCTGCTGAATGCAGGTGCTTTGTTACACATTCAATAGGAGTTAAACGGCCTCCAAATATGCTTTAATGTCATATATAAGTCAGTGTAAGTTATAGACTGTGCTTGCCTTTTTATAATGAGCTTGTACAGCTGATCAGTGTAAAACAATAATAAGGATATGCAGACTGTGCTGTTTGAATTCAACTCTGGGAGAAAATGGACCTTGAATGGATTATATTACTACGTAACAATTCGTTTTTGAGCTTGTTTTTAACCAGATGAAGATGTATGATGACCATGTCCGTTTGTTTGTGATTCATTGTGTGATTCATTATGTTAAATATAAAAGTCATAAAAACAACTTTAAATGTCACCCTAATGAATTTTGGTACTGGTAATCGATATCCAATAATAACTATTTGGAGATTTTATTGGAGTTTGTACAGTATACTGTAATATCCATAGCAACCGATTTTTAAATAATACATTATAATTGCTAAGAAAAGAAACTGCAGACAAAGTAATTTGACACATCAAACGATCTTAAACTATACCAACATCCAAGTGTGTGCTTTCATTGCCACAGTGAGTCCTTGTTACACCAGCGAACCAGTTCAGAAGCATAGAAATCCAAACAGACCGCAGCCAATGGGCCACAGGAACAACACGGTGCACCTCTTAGCTTGTGGTTACGTTGCCACGGTGACGAACACACCGCAAACCCGGCCGTCACAACAGGCGCTCCGACTGCAGCGCATGGGGTTCCAATTATTCGTACATTTCAAAGGAATGCGGGCCTCTTTGCGAGCCTCGCTTCAGTCTTTAAAGAGTCCTGCAGCCGGCTCAGTGAGCAGACCTCCCACATGTTCCTCCAGACCTGAGGAGGGGCACAGACACAGAGGATCCCCTTTCACTGGAGAAGTTGTCCAAAAACATCCGGCACCACTGTCCTATATTCTGTTTTACACCAAATCTCAGAGGTTCAGGGTGCAGAAGGTCAAAGCCATTTCCTCTAGACCTCCACATGGGGCTGACCGTGCTTTAAACCCAAAGGGGGGTGAGGGGGGGCTACCAGATCTGCTTATCTGTTCCCAGACAGACCACAGAGGTTGTGCCCCCTTCACATTCCCTCTGTATTGGTGCCTCAGACATGCACAGGTCCCGTGTCAGAGAGGACTTGCTGCAGTGTGTTGGTATTGCAGGGTGCTGGTACCATTGTTCTGGTCCTGGTGCAGACAGGACCACCTACCTCAACTCACATAATTCCCTGCTGGTATGCCATGCATGTGACCAAAGCTGTTGAACAATTCGCACATCAAAAACCAGGTTTTTGAACGCCAGGGTCCGCAGACGGGTGTACAGATTAAACACCCTTTTAATGGGTGAATACAGGGGGCATGTTTTATTTAAAGTTACATAACTTTATTAATCTTTCATGTAGACAGAAACTTGGAGTTGAAAGTGATGATTTGGGCTTTGACACAATCTAACTTTTTTCTGTAGACCATAACCTTTTTTTTCTTTGAAAGGCATTTTTAAAATGTAAGCTTATTATAAAGGCATACGTAGACTAGACACTCAACATTTATTTTTCAATGACAACTTTACTTTTACAACCTAAACTCTTCGTTTTGCAATCCAGTCTGAATTCAATTCACACGGTTACATGAGTTATAAGAGATAGTTAAAATTAAAACGGAATTTATAATAAGGTTACAAGCTTAATCGCTTATTTTTAGTGAGGTACAGTAGTAAAGATAAAACAATTCTTATAGGCACCTGGGTGTTTATTTTATTTTGGTTCTGGGCAGCTTTATACTCTTGTAGCTCAGCTAGTTTAAGAACAGGAATATCATGCCGTGGGGTAAGACAACAAAAATGAATGCACAAAGTCAACCAAAAGGTGCCTGGACCCTGAACAGTAGCAATGGGGTAATTCAAGTGTGTGTAACAACGTCCTACCGTTTTTGCTCCAGGACTGTCTGAGGGCGTGCCAGGAGCAGATGGAGCGTGTGCTGACCACCAGCCTGCAGCAGGAGAGCAGCATCCGAGCAGGCAGCAAGGCCAGGGAGCAGCAGGACCAGTCCAGCACCCCTACAGATGTGCGCGACGTCAACTTATGAACTCCACCCGACTCACGCACCGCTCATGCCTGTTTACCGAACTAACAGGAGCACATGAGCTACCAGTATCTACATCAAGGCGCCACATGAGCGATGGTGTGATGATCTGTGAACTTTTAGAAAATAAGCAATTCCTAGTTTTCCTCCTTTTTTTGCCCCATTGTACCCGGTGTGCTTTTCACCTTTTGTACGGACGATATGTAACCAAACAAGCTATGTAAGAAAAAAAAAATGGAAAACTTGATAGTGCCTTAGGTTTCCCTGAATGGAAACCTGAATATATTTTCATACTTGAAAAAAAAAACAGCATAATTATATGATATACTTATTTTTTTGATACAACCTAGTAGAAATAAATGATAAATATTGCATATCTAGCTAGCATTTAGTTATGATATTCTTTTATCATCTTATAGTGAGCAGTTATCAATTCAGTTTGTATGGGTTTTCTTCCCCTGTACAGGGAAATGCCCATAGTAAAGTTTGAAATGCTGATAATACAGTACATGGCATTTAAACTAAGCTGAGATCCAATCAGAGGAGCTCTATCTATCATACTGTGCACCTGTAGCACTGCTTTCTATTTATGCTGAATAGCTAGCCGGGAGTGGGCTGGGCCTGCTCACAGAGGAAGGACACGAGGGGCTTTGAGTCTGGAGCAGGGGCTACTGTTAAAGGTTAACACAGAGGTCAGTTATTAAGGTCTTGATTGAACTGGCTTATCCACAGACCAGTACAGTAGGTTCATATAATTCAGCGAGGCTACATTGTTATTGTTCATAGTCTAGCGTTAGACACACACGTTAGAAACACGTTAGAGTTTAGTAGATGGGATTTTAACCTCTGCTAGGTCGTACTGATGTTACTAGAGGAAAATAAGATTTAGCAAGTTTAATGGAGAAGGAAATGGATGCAGGTTGAAGGAAGTTTTTCAAGAAAAGTAACGCATGTGGAATGGAAAGAGGATGCTAGAGGTCTAGATTGATGAATGATAGCGACTTGGCGAGAAGAACTTAAGCTATGTCATGTTTGCAGTTGCATGAGTGACACACAGTAGGTGGAAAACCCCCTTGTGGGGGGGTTCAGATGAGTTGCTGCAGATTCTCCTTTTATCAATTTCTCCATTAACTTTTTTTGAGAGTGGGCGACTTGGAAAAATATTGATGCACTTTTTTATAGACACACTCCTTATGTATGGTAGTGGTGGTTGAGGAGAGTTCAGTGTTTTTTTTCTTTCCTTTAAGTTATTTTAATTTTTTTTTCTGGGCTGGATTCCCATGGGGTAACGCACATTGTCTTGAAAGCTACGCCCCGACAGGTGAGTAGACGTTGGATAATCTGTGTAATAGTTTAATAGAATATCAACTAAAGAAAGCCAAGTCACTTGTAGACTTCTTTTTTTTGATTATTTGCATTTATTTAACCTTACTTGAATTTATGTTAATTCATAGCCAAACCTTCCAATAGTTCTTACAAAGGGTCACACGCATATTGTGTCCAAAATATTCTCTCTTTTTCCTGTTTTTCACTCTTTGTATGTAAGCCTCTCTGAACTGAAGTGTTACAGTGACATGGGAGGTAGGGGTTTCAATGGTTTGAACTGTTTGTCGTTATATAACCAATTTCCCCTTGAGCACAAATGCTAAAAAGTCCTCTTTACATTTTACAAAAGATATGTAGTTTCTAAATTCTATTCATGTTCTGTTGTGCAACAAGCCAAATGTTTGTTTTCTCCAAAAAAAGTGCTTTAAACAGAAAACATGTTTATGCTTCTAAAGGTTTTGTGTATAATTTGAAAGAGATAATTCCAAAGTGAGAACAAACTATATTATACACATCATTCTCTTGCTGCTATGAAGCTTTTCTTTTCTAGTCTTACACAAAGATGCCTTATTGTGATTCACTTGTGTGCTGCTATATTACGAAATGTTGTATATGTAACAAGTCTTCTTTGCTTTTCCGTTGTATGTGTACTGGAGGAAACGTAACACAGTTTGGTGCGGGACTGGAAGTACTTGGTTTTGCCGATCTTTTTTGATTAGCATGTTTTCATTTGTATCTTTATACTCTACCATATTCTTGCTGCTTCTTTGTTATGTTTGTGTACCTCAGGTTAATTTGGACGGATAGAGCGAGAGTCCATCTCGCATTACCTCATCAAACTTTACAACACAAACGTTGTTTTCACTCTGAACTTGTTGACGGATTTCACTTTTTTTCAGCCTTGATGAGAAGGACAGTTAATCTTCTCTTTGAATAAAAAAAAAAAAGTCTGACCCCAGATTCCACTGAACCGTTATAAGGGCCTGTACTTTAAAATAGGTTGTTTCATGTAAGTAAAACATATATATACTGTAATGTATACATGTATTTGAAAGAAAACAAAATATTGGCATGTTCAGATCAGTTCATTGGAACAAAATTGAATATTGTTTATTTTTGAGGTACCCATTCAGTCTCAGTTAAAACCACAAGAATGTTTTATCATTGTTCAGTGTGGTTGTTTTCCAAACTCCTCTCCCACTATCCCCACGTGCAACCACACAGTGTACCTCAACAATTTCTCATCAATAAATTGGCTAAAATCATGTGACTGGCTAATTTGTTTTCCTCTGCACAGACTGAGATCAGCCCATCTGCAATAATAATAATTCTGTTCCATTCTGTCTTTAGTGAGATCTGCCTTTCTGTTGATGACAGCTAAACCACTGAAAACAAAGGTGATGCTCTCAAAATTATAAATAAGAGTTATTTTTACTAGTGAGTATTACATTCCAACATATAAATAAGTATTTTCCTGAAGAAAGGCAAGTACATACTTGTAACCTTACATTTATGAATATAGATATTAAGATATTTTCTATGGTTCTTGTGTCATCACACAGGTGGCTGTGTCTCAAATCATTAAAAAAGATTACATGGCACGCATTTAGTTTAAAGTGACTGTTTAGCACAGGACAGGAATTTCATGAATCAAAGAGGGTTGATAGGTTGTGCTTACAGACAGAATTCGGAAATAGTGTCATTTGAAAAAATATGTTGATATTTAAATATATCCTTTTTCGTTCTTTATTTTTTTACAATCATTATTCAGACAGTATAATGCCTTCATTGTACACACTCTGATACACTAGGTGGCGGTGTGCTCCTTAAAGTATGTGTAGCGAACTGTCAATAGACGCAAAGAAGAAGAACAAGAAGATTACGTCACATATTTGCCGGTGAACTAACCCGGATGTAACAGCAAGTGCGTTGAAAATGTTTACACTCAGTATAACCCTCGTGCGACAGTAAGTGATTATTTTCACACCACTTTTTTACACCATGACTGTGACATGAATTCATTGTAAATGTGACATTATTCTGCATAAAAAGTTAGTCCTGTCAGTTGTTGTTGGTGGCTATATGTCTGTCAAAAATGACAGAAACAAAACAAGAATATAGTGCTTTAATCGTTTTAACCAAGCTATAGCTTAAGCTTTGTTGTCAGCTTTGAAGCAGGCCTACGTGGATATGGCTGAGCTAATTCAAGGACATTTATTTCTCACAGTGGGGAAACACAGTACAACAAGGAGAAGCTGCTGCAAGGTAAGTTGAAACATTAGCACCTGTATAGAAATGAGCAGCATGGATTTACAACAAAAACATTTGAATAACATCTGCCCCATTAGACAACCATTTAACCTACTGAGGGCCTTGCACAGCTATGTTTATATTGCTACGTAGGCGGACATTGTCAGGATATGAAACCTGGTCTCAAAGTGTCAGTGTGTTGCAACCACCTGAATACCTCTGCCCTCACCCCACCCTTAAGACAAGTCTGTTGAAGAACTGCAATGACTCTCCTAAGGTAACAAAAAAAGAGGAAAAACCCTCCACAGAGCTGTGTTGGGTTTGTCCATTCTAGGCTACCGTAAAACATGGAAGGGGTCATTCTAAGCTGACAAAAACACAACAACTCTTAGTTTCAGGTGATTATTGATGAAAACATGAATATTTTATTGTATTTGTGCTAATAGATCCCCTTAAATACTACACACTGGACCTGTAATTAAGCTAAGTAAATTAAAAGAGATTTACCTAGGTCCTTTTTAAAATGTTAAGGCCATTGGCTATCCACTTCTGCTTTCAAATACAGCATCAAACCATCCCTGGATTTGACAAATGTTTTCAACTATCTTAAACATGACATTTTTCTACAGAATACAGTAGTTGTGGGTTTGTCCCCCGATTTCAAGGTAGAGACGATTGTCACTCCCAGAAATACAGCATGTAGCTGGCCATCAATGACACAGCTCTGGTCCAACATGTGTGTTTTATAACGTTAGATATATTCTTACGTGTTGCAGAAAACTCCCTCTTTAATAGTCTTAACACTTTTTTGCACTGTAAAGGAGTATTACTGCAGAAACTAAAAGCTCTGTTTCCTTTAGGTCAAGGCGTGGACACACCTCTGTCAGAAACAGGTGTGCAGCAGGCTGAGGCCGTAGGAAAATATCTCCGAGACATCGCATTCAACTATGTGTTTTCCAGTAACCTACAACGAGCCATACATGTAAGTCACACTCATTCAATTAGAAAGTTACCTGTCCTGTAAAAGTGAATACATATCACACACAGATGAAGTGACAGTGGAAGAAAAAGTACAGACTTTGAGGACCTGATCTTCATTCTTTCATAGGACATTAGTTAATCCATCCTTGAATGTTTGTGAGTTTAAACCTGTAGAAAATGTGTTTGGTACCCATTAAAATACCTCATAATAGACACTAATAATTAACTTACAAATAAAAGTACATTCTTTTAGGGTTTCTTTCGTATGTCTTTCAAATCTTTCCTGTCTTAGCTTAGTAATCTCTTTACCCATACATATCTGTAGCTTATTTTCCATTATTAGCAAATCATTTTTGTTCCACCAGTAAAATGAACAATAGTTTTCCAAGAAAAGTGAAGCAAAAGAAGGAAAACGGGTTGCATGGATATGACATAGCTGTGTGACCACTCATGTCTCTGTGGTATCTGACTCACTGATGTTGACAGTGTATTAATGATTTTTCAGTCTGTCCAAGACTGCTTCTGTGGGTGGTTACAAATGTATTGAGTCAGTCATTGACGATAACTGCTTCCCTCAGACGGCTGAAATAATTAGGAGGAACAACACTCATTGTTCTGGCACGGAGATGGTTTTGGATCCATTACTCAGAGAGAGGGTGAGATCCATTGACTTTATACTTTATCCAAATATATATAATAATGCAGTACTACAGCAGTTTATTTGGTGAGTTCTAAGAGTATGGTTGTCTGTTTAATTCAGGGTTTTGGTGTTGCTGAAGGACACCCCAAAGAGCATCTGAAGAACATGGCAAACGCTGCCGGCCAGTCTTGTCGTGACTACACCCCCCCAGGAGGAGAGACTTTGGACCAGGTGAGTCACACACAGTCAGTATTTGGGTACTAATTACATTACATTACATTGCATTTAGCTGACGCTTTTATCCAAAGCGACTTACAATAAGTGCGTTCGACCAACAAAATACAAACTTGAGGAAAACAGAATCATATAAGTACATCAGGTTTCATAGAGCCAAAACATTTCAAGTGCTACTCAACTGGCTTTAGATAAGCCAGCCTTTTATTAGTATATAAGTGCTTTGTTAATAGTTCTATCGCTCGAAGTGGAGTCGAAAGAGATGAGTTTTCAGTCTGCGCCGGAAGGTGTGTAAGCTATCTGCTGTCCTGATGTCAATGGGGAGCTCATTCCACCATTTAGGAGCCAGGATAGCAAACCCACGTGTTTTTGCTGATGGGAACTTGGGTCCCCTTCGCAGCGAGGGTGCAGCGAGCCGTTTGGTTGATGCAGAGCAGAGTGCACGTGCTGGGGTGTACGGTTTAATCATGTCCTGGATGTAGGAAGGGCCAGATCCATTCGCAGCATGGTAAGCAAGTACCATTGTCTTGAAGTGGATTCTAGCAGTTACCGGAAGCCAGTGAAGGGAGCGGAGGAGCGGAGTGGTGTGGGAGAATTTAGGAAGGTTGAAGACCAGACGAGCCGCTGCATTCTGGATGAGCTACAGAGGTCGGATGGCACATGCAGGTAGACCAGCCAGGAGGGAGTTGCAGTAGTCTAGGCGTGAGATGACGCGAGCCTGGACCAGAATCTGCGTCGCTTTCTGGGTCAGCTGGGGACGCATCCTCCTGATGTTGTAAAGCGTGTATCTGCAGCAACGAGTTGTAGCAGCTATGTTTGCAGTGAAGGACAGGTTGTTATCTAGGGTCACACCCAGATTCCTTGCAGTCTGAGTCGGGGAAACAACTGAGGTGCCAATGTTGATTGTTAGGTCAAGAGTGGGACAATCTTTTCCCGGAAGGAAAAGCAGCTCAGTCTTGTCAAGGTTGAGCTTGAGGTGATGATCAGACATCCACTGAGAGATGTCAGCTAGACAAGCAGAGATGCGTGCGACGACCTGGGTCTCTGAGCGGGGAAAGGACAGAATCAATTGGGTGTCGTCAGCGTAGCAGTGGTATGAAAAACCATGCGGGCTAATGACTGATCCGAGCGAGTTTGTGTACAGGGAGAAGAGGAAGGGGCCAAGAACAGAGCCCTGAGGGACCCCTGTAGTTAATTGACAAGGGTCGGACTCGGACCCTCTCCAAGTAACCCTGTAGGTGCGGTCTTTGAGGTATGAGGTGAGGAGGGAAAGTGCAGAGCCTGAAACTCCAAGTTCTTGGAGAGTGCGAAGGAGGATCTGATGATTCACCGTGTCGAATGCAGCAGACAGGTCCAAAAGGATGATGATAGAGGAGAGGGAGGCTGCTTTAGCAGTGTGCAGTTCCTCAGTGACAGCAAGGAGGGCAGTTTCTGTGGAGTGACCTGCCTTGAAACCAGACTGGTGCGGATCCAGAAGGTTGTTCTGATGGAGATAGCAGGAGAGTTGTTTAAAGACAGCGCGTTCAAGTGTTTTAGACAGGAACGGGAGGAGAGAGACAGGCCTGTAGTTTATAACATCAGACGGGTTGAGAGTGGGTTTCTTTAGGAGAGGGTTTACTCTTGCCTCCTTGAGACTGTTTGGAAAGTGACCAGAAGTTAGAGAAGTGTTGATGAAATGGGTGAGAAACGGTAGAATATCAGGAGCGATAGTCTGAAGGAGGGTTGAAGGGATAGGGTCCAGAGGACAGGTGGTAGGGCGGGCAGAGGTAATGAGGGTAAGAACCTCACTTGGAGAGAGAGGGGAAAAGGAGGTCAGTGTGTGGGTGAAAGGAGGGTCTGGTGACCCAGCGGTGAGTAAAGGTGAGTCAGAAAAAGAAGAGCGAATATCATCAACCTTTTTTTCAAAGTGGTTAACGAAGTCGCTTGACAGAAGGGAGGAGGGGGAAGGGGCTTTGGGGGGGTCCAGGAGGGAGGAGAAGATGGAAAATAGTTTTTTGGAATAGGAAGATTGGATCTTATCTTGAAAGAAAGTGCTTTTTGCCTGAGAGATCGAAGCAGAGAAAGAGGAGAGGAGAGCCTGATAGGTTAGGAGGTCGTCACGGTGTTTGGATTTCCACCGTTTCCGCTCTGCTGCCCGAAGGACGGTTCTATTGGCACGCAGTGCATCATTTAGCCAGGGAGCCGGAGGGGACTGACGAGCCTGCCGAGATGTGAGAAGACAGTGAGAGTCCAGAGAGGATGAGAAAGTAGAGAGGAGAGTTTCTGCAGCAGAGTTTGGAGGTAGTTGGAACGAGTCCGAGGAAGGGAGGGCTGAGAGCACCGACGAGGCAAAGGTAGAGGGGGAGAGGGAACGAAGGTTACGGCGGACAGGTGCAGGATGAGAAGAGATTAGTTTGTTATGTTTGGAAAGGGGTAGAGAGAATGAAATGAAGAAGTGATCGGATGTGTGGAGCGGGTTTACAGAGAGGTTAGAAGTAGTACAGTTCCTTGAGAATATGAGATCAAGGACATTGCCAGCTTTATGAGTTGGTGGGGATGGAGACAGTGAGAAAGCAAAGGCGGTTAACAGGGATGTTAGTTTGTCTATCTTCCCTGTCTGGAGGTTGAAGTCTCCGAGAAGTACAGCGGGAGGACCAGTTTCAGGGATGTGTGAGAGGAGATGATCTAATTCCTCCAAGAAGTCCCCCAAGGCGCCTGGTGGACGGTAGAGAACAACAATGGTTAATTGTATAGGATGGGTTACTGTGACGGCATGGAATTCAAAGGTGGAAGGAGTGAAGTTAGGTAGCTTGAAGAGGGAAAAGCTCCATTTGGGAGATAGCAGGAGACCAGTGCCACCTCCTCTGCCAGTGGGTCTGGGTGTATGGGAGAAGGAATATGCAGTGGAGAGAGCTGCTGGGGTGGATGTGTTGGATGGAGTAATCCAGGTCTCAGTGAGAGCAAGGAAATCCAGAGACTGCAGGGAGGCGTAGCCAGAGATGAAGTCAGCCTTAGGAACAGCTGACTGGCAATTCCACAGGCCGCCTGAAACTAGATGTTGGATCTCAGTGGAGCATGTGGGATAGACGAGAGCAAGCCGGTTATATCGATTACGAGATACACGGGGCCAGTGATAATTACTGATGATATAGTAGTGGTCAAAAGTTGAAAACAGTCACTGTGAAACTCAAGGCCAAGAGAGTATTACTTGTGCAACAGCGCCATGTAGAGTCCATTTATAGTATTGCAATTAAACTGAGTTGTGGCCAGATAATGTGCAAAATGTAAGGTAGTTTAACCTGTTATGCCCTGACCCTGTTTTTCAGGTCTCAGGCTCAAAAATGACATGCCCAGAACAAATGACTATATCTTCACTTCTAAAAGGAGTAAATTAATAATCTTTGTTCTCAAAGCAATGATAGAAGAGTCAGAATCAATATAGATGTTTTTTTTATTTTAAAGTAAATTCAGATTGACCATAGTAAAACAAATTCAATTATAGTTTCCGTCAAAAAAAAACAACAACATTACTTATAGTGAAAACCACCCTTGAATGATGGGATAGTAGACTAAAAGCTTTAGGAATCCAAACTATAACATATAATAAGTACCCTGTATCAAGATTGATGCAAAACAAGTGAGATTTGACCTTTTTAGAGAGGTTTAGAAAAAAACATGCAATATTGTTGTTTTATTTTATTTTTTAGAATGATGGTTAAATAAATTACCTGCAAATCCTTACATTTGACAAGCTGCAAACAGAAGACAACAATTCCTATCAAAGCAGTTGCTGATGACTTGTCAATCAAGTAACGGATAAAGCAACAAACCATTTCAGCTCTAAAGTGAATTTTCTTTAAGGAAAAAGTGTAGCTGACAGATTGCAAAAAGAACAGGCTGACTTTCACCTTGCTTCCAGGTGAAGCTACGATTCAAAAAGTTTCTCAAAGCCCTTTTCCAGCAATTATCGGATGAACACGGCAGGGCGGGAGCACCTGAGGCTGCAAACGGGACAGCAGCTGCTGCCTCGGAGCGGGCTCCTGGAGGCTCGGCTGAGGACGGGCTCCAGGAAGCGTCGGTCCACGCTCTGGTCGTGAGCCACGGAGCTTACATCCGTGTGGCCATCAAGCACCTCCTGGAGGACTTAAAGAGCTCTCTGCCTGCAGGGGCCAAGATGTCCCAGGTGTTTTCTCCATGTCCAAACACGGGCATCAGTCGCTTCGTTTTCACCCTGAGCCCCTCCGAGTCGGGCCCCGTCCTCTCTGCTGCTCGCTGCTGCTTCACCAACAGGAAGGAGCACCTGGGGAACCTCACAGCTGCTGAAAAGTGTGGAGGGAAAGAGATGGGATAAAAGTTTTTTGTACGGCGTTGGCGTATTGGTGTGCAGATGTACACAGTCTATGATGGGAACAATCATGAATGATGAACACTAAACCGAAAAAACAGGGAAATACTTCAAGCAATGCACACTGAGAAATAATGTGTTCTCATTCATGTGTATAAATATATATATATATAACGTTTACTTAGAATCAACAATAAGTGTCCAGTACTGTATTGTCAAACTGTTCCTTCATCCTCCCAAGTGAGGCCAGTGAGAATTGAAGTACTCAATATAACTGTATTGCCTCTTTTATCATGTTATACCAAAGTCAGAACTATTTAATGTAAGTTTGAACACTCTGTATGCGTGGCATTTTTAAGTGTGATACGTATCTTGTGATGCTGCTGCTCATTTCACTTGTGCAATACAACATGACAAACCTGAATCTTTGTCGAGTCTGATAAATAATACAGGATGCACATAATATATGAAATCCGTCCAACTCTTTGTCGTTCAATGGTTGTTTTTAGTCTTTCTATTATTAGAGTCCCTTTTTGATCCCCTCTGAATGCTTTGTGCTTCGCTGTCGGTCATGGCCTCAATATTTCAAAGGAAATCCAATCTATTTATACTAATGCCAAAAGCTAACATCTTAAAACTGAAGACTTGAAATAAACCAAAAGGAACAACTAATGCATTACAGAATATAAGATGACATAGAGGAAAGTGGACTCTTTCTAGATTGCTTTTTCATTGTTATTGTCAGTGGTGGAAGAAGAATTCAGATATGTTACTTAAGTTAAAATAGTACAATAAGTAAAGGTCCTGCATTCAAAGTCTGTAAAAGAATAAATGAATTTGAACCAGTACCAACTGCAAAAGTCCCCATGATACAGAATGGCCTTTTTCAAAATCATGTATTATTACTGGATTAGAATGTGTGATGTTATCATGTTTACATCACTTTAATGTTGCAGCTGATAAAGGTAGCTCTTATTCTTACTACATCATATAAGGAATGAACCATTTCACCTACCAGTGGTAAAAAAAAACGAGCTCCAACTAATTCAATAATAGGATATATAATGATATGAATTAGGTCATTCTGCAATATGACTACTTTTACGTTTGTTCTTTTGAATGCAGTATTTTCACTTTGTGGTAGCCTATTACTACTTGTACTCAGATAAAAATGGATCATCTTCCACCACTGAGAGGAGACAATGCCTAGTGGCTTCAATCGTATCTTCAAACAGCTGATTTAGTCCGTTTTCTCATCTTTAGAGACTGGAAAAAGCCACCGCATTACTGGAGTCACCATGATGAACTTTAACGTCCATTACAGATGTGTATTCTGAAAGAGCTTCAATATGCTGCAGCTATAGAGTTAGTGCCAGATGACAGGATTGAAACCACTTTGTTATCCTAGTTAATGGGTAACAAGTTAAAAAGAGAGTAAGATCGTCACAGTGTTTTTTAGAGTGAACTGACTCATGTATGCTAATTAGAGTGCAGGATTTCCAGCTATAATGGAACTGCTGAGTAACTGGCTCAATGTTAAACCTGCTTACTCATTCATGACTTCCTGTCTGACAGCACAAGTTTTTTGCCAAATTAGAACACTAAGACACATCCTTATACATTTGCCTAAATAACACACAACACCATACATGTTTCCTTTAGTTTATTTTGTCCAAAACACTATGTCCACAACTCTAACCCATACATTCAAAGACAAACCATGTTTTCTTGTATGTACATTTCAATTGTAAATCATCCTCATAAATACCATAAATAACAATAAAGGAATGGAATTAAATAAATAAATACTCTTTGGGACTGGTTTAAGTGTTTGCCGGTGGTGCCCAGCACCTGTAAAAATCACACCGCAGGAGTTTAGGTGTGCTTCAAGATGAATGCTCTGTAAAGGATGTTTACCCTGTCGTAATATCCGTTCAAGTCATGAATTAGATTTGACAAATACAGAAACATTTACAAAACAAGTACTGTAGTTGTCTGTAGTTTAAAAAGATGCTGGAATTGCTGTTTAAGTTCAAATCTGACAATATACAAACATCAAATCTCCTATGTCTTGTCCAACTCAGTAAACGTAAGACTTTAAAATAAAGGCAAAACGTAACATTAACTCTAGTAAATTAAACTCTTATGTATATTAATGTATATATTTTTGATTTAAAATCATGCCTCAGTAGACAGGGCCTTCAGTCCTCCAGAGGTGGGCTATGATAGGCTCCTGTCTTGATATAACATCATGTCACTGCCAAGTGTGGGCTCCTCAGACCAGCTGTCAAAACCTATTGAAAAGAGTCTTTAAAAAATGCATGCTGACTGTGATTATTAAATTATAAGTTTGCATTGGTAACCTAAAATCAATCGTCTTAAGGCCAGCCAAACTGTATTTATGAAATTCCAATAAATGTTTACGACCAAGTGTCAAATTAGCTCCATTACTGTAATGGCTCAGGATGGGAAAGGATTTTGGATCTTGGCACAAAAATAAGATTTCGTTTCTCAGTTGTAAAATGAAGCAATATTTGTTTTATAATGTTGCTTGTGTGGGTGTACAAAAAACTAATTATTTATGAAATGAATCAATGTAAAACACCTTATTATAGATTGAACTTGTTGTTCTTCTGTGATCTCAAATTGTTGAGTTGTAACACAAGTTGTGCAAAAGGGGCTGCAAGTCAAGTCTACTGTTTTCTACTTGGTAAACATATCCATGTCAGTCACCACAAAAGTCAGCCCATGATCCCGGTGCTGCGAGGGCTGGCCGGGTTGGACGAGTGCACGTTCCAGGGGTCGTGGGTGGATGGAGCCAGCGGGTTCTCCCGGGACACATTGCGCCCATCATCTCCGACTTCCACCTCCACCTCCACCTCCAACTCCACCTCTAGATCCGCGTCCTCCTCCGGAACTGCCCGAGAGTCCGAGCCCTCCTCGGTCTGACCGAGGTAGACGTTGTGCGGGTCGGAGGGGTCCACCACCTGGTTCCTCTTCTCCCGATGCAGCAGCAGGCGCTCCAGCGGCACCGTGTTCATCTTGGGCAGGAAGAGGGCGGTCTGCGGGAGGTTCTGCCCCGCCGCGAACACCTGTCGGGAGCCCTCCAGGTTGAAGAGGATGCCGGTCCGGCTGGAGAAGTACACATCCCGGTTGTTCTCCAGAAGCCTGTGGTTGAACAGACAGTCGTCCCTGAGGCAAGTGGGCTGTAAGACAGGAGCAGAGCATGAAACAGCGAAGGCATGTATTGTTTTTACGTCATATAGGAGAGTTTTTTCAGTCGGTGGCTTCTGATCTGGTTTCATTGTCTCGTATTACATTTATTTCATGTCCTGTCTATTTTTATGTATTTTTGCTATGTTTTTATACAGTTGTTGATTTACAGCACTTTGTTCAACTCTGTTGTTTTTAAATGTGCTATATAAATAAAATGGATTGGATTGGATATGTTATTTTGAATAAATGCAAGATAATACGGACAGTTTTGTCAGTTCATGGAATCTGTTTGATTCAGTAAAGTCTCCGAATTTGGCTACTCTATTTAACTTTACTGTACTATTACTTAACTAGATTGGCTATTTCGGCCAAAAAAATGTGGCACATAGAAGTTTTGAAAATCATTTGGGATGAAATTATTTTCAAATCCATTGAGTATCATCTCTGTTTGTTCGGTAGGCTGCTTTAAATCTTCATAGCAGAAGAAATCCAATGAATAAACCCATGCGTAAATAATTGGAGTAAACATTGTGCGTAACTGCAGAGCAAGAAGTGTTGAAAAAGATGCCTAAACCTAACGATGTTAATGTTACCAAGTATTAACCAAAACGTGTATATGATCGATTTGATGAAAAATAACAATACTTGGATCAAAAGAGACTTATCAACAATAATCAAATGATTTGATGGTCAAATATTCTATAGTTGCAGTATACGTTTGTGCGTAAAATGAAACTCCTAATAAGCGATGTTAAAAACGATGTGTGAAACCTCAAAAGTTAGAAATATTTAATAATACATATTTAGTATAGAAGGTTGATTTTTAACAGACATTAAAGTGAAAGTAATATTCGTCTTACCGAGCTGAATGGGTTGCCCTCCAGATCCATACACAGGTAACGGCTACTTTTGACGCCAAAGATGGCAATGCGCTCTCTGGTCTCAGATTTCAGTAAAATCACACCTGCAGGAAGTAAAAGTTAGTGAGTATTAGCTTTTACAGACAGAAATTCATATTGCCTCATTGCAAAGAAAATAGAAATACTGGGACTTACTATATGAGCTCCTCACTGTAGTCCTGCGCACAGTGCCATCCAATCTGATCTCCAAGTAGAAGTTGTTGAGCTCTGTGGATGTCTGCAGGTGGATATATCTCCTCGGGTTCCCCCAGTTGGATCCAACCAGCGGTGAAGGATTCGGGGCAGTTTCCCCGAGAGGAAATCCCTGGAGTACGGCGAGTAAAAGCGCGAGCACAGCATCCTTTATCCCAAGTCTCCCGTTGACGTCCATCCTGGAGCAAACCGGCGCTTTCCACTGCGACTGCTGGAAGTTTTCAGATGCTCTGTTGTCCCAAAGTTTGGAGACAGTTCCTATTTAAAGCCCACCGAGTGCCACTCCTGCTCACATCCTTTGCGTAAAAAAAAAGAAACTCGCCCCCAAAGCAGATGTGCGGGTGTGCTGCAGCGGAAGGGCCACTTCCACCTCTGTTTATCCCGATGCTCTTGGTCAGACTGGACTCTTATTTTTGGTGACACGTCTTGACTCATCCACCTTAATCCTTATTCTAAGAATATTTCATAATTGTCCATTGGCTGTAGTTTTTTTGTTAAGACTGGAAACATTGTGCATTGAGCAGTGTAAACAAGAAATAATAAAAACAAAGTGCAAGAAAGAATACATTTAAAAAGGAATGACATTAATGCAAAAAAAAAGGTTTTCTTTATTAAATCAGAAATAACATATAATGTTAGTTTGATGTGTATGTCAGATTCAGGTATCCAATTGGTGCAACCCCCAGTATTCTTGATGAATTACACATGTTTCGAGTATTATATTTTAAAAGAAAAACAGTTTCGTTTACTGGACTGGTCGTTTAGTTATATTGTGAAGTTCAGTTTGCTGCTTTTACGCACCTGCCTTAACATGTACACCATTCCACCAGCAGAGGGAGTCACTCCCTTAACCAGTACAGCTTTTACTTTGAGACTGGGAGTTACATTTGACTGACTTAACTATTTTTGGATGCTGTAGTTTCAGCATAGGACACATTCAACTTTATATCAGTATACTGAATACTCCTGATCTTGTTTTCAACAACTTCTCTCAAAAATAGAAAGTTATTTTTAATTGAGGACTTAAACTCCAAATGCACTTCAATCAAAAACAAAACTTAAAAAACCTTTATCTTTCCCACAGGTAAATGGGCTATACAGTTAAACTAATAGATATCTACCTTTTGTGTATTTACTCTTAAGTATTTCTATACTGTGCTACTTATACTCAAGCAATATATCTGAGTACTTCCTCTACCACTCATAAATACACGGTTAGACCACAGTTCAACTGATCCAAGGGAGAAAACGACACTTCACCAGCAACCAGTTAAAAAAAAACTTTTATTGTTATCTCAGGAATACAGTAGACTGCTGTGCACAGCACATACGTACAAAAATAAAAGGAAAAACTTTAATATCCTTACTTAGCATTGTCTGTTTTCAGAAACAAATAAATGAAGTTTGTTTCCTCTTAATTTACAGTCATCAGCAAACCAAAACTAAGGCAGAGGGTGAGGTATATGAGAACAGAGATGAGAGGAATAGAGTGGAGACTCCCTTTTAGAGCAGGAGTTTAAAGAAAACACATGAAGCACACACCCCTATTTAAGTTTGGGGCTCGGGCATGCTTATAGTACATTTAACATCAATTAAAAAAGATATACCTCCTCTTTAATTCAAATTTGATCTATGATTAGCTGTGGAAAAAGAAAAAAAGACGACAGAGAAATCTTGATAACATTTTTTGGTCAAAGCTGAAATGTGAGCTTTTTGTTTTAGACACAGACGTTCACTCTTCTAGGGATCCAGCTCTATTTCTTGACAGAAAAATGTGAGAAAACTCTTTACCGTATGTACTCAAGTAAGGTGCTGCAGACATCCTTGATTGTGATGCGGCCAGAGAAGTGCTCATTGCTGTGCATGCGCAAAGTTCACTTCCACAGCTTCCTCTGACAATGCTGACACACATATTGTTGTTTGTCTTACTACTCCAGTCAATAACGACAATTTACTTCCAGCAAGAAATATCTATCCGTGGTATTTCATGCAGCCTCATCTACAGCAGCAACACGTTTATTTTTTTAAGAAGGCTCCTGATAAATCTGCCTCTCGGTAGCCTTGCCATTAGCACAAAAAAAGTCCTCAGAACAAAAAGAGATTTATCTGTTAGAAAAATACTGTTATGAATTGATCTGTGCGTCATAGACAGTTGAGCAGCAGGTGATTCTGGGGATGAAGGGAGTCAGCAGCAGAGGGCACGCCCTGAGGATGGCTGGGGGGGGCCGTCCTGCAGCAGGAGAGGTGAGGTCCTGCAGCAGGAGAGGTGAGGTCCTGCATGACTCTGCTCTCTGCCTGCTGCTCACACACTGCATTAACTCTGCAGATGTCCCCATCCCAAAAATACTCTGACAAAAGTACCAAGAAAAGGGGAGAGGGAAGCATGTGGTGGAGCTGCATTTTAAAAAGGCGGGGCTCTATAAATCAAGAAGGGTTGTTTCAGAAGAACTGTAGGATATATCCATGGTTAGTGGAAGAGCAACTCTTCTGTATTACTTCAATCAATTAAAATGAAGAGTTTCCTGCGTGAAAAGGATACTTCAAATTCCTATTTCATGGAAACAGTACGACCCATATAGCCGAACACCCCCGGCCACTGGGGTTGGGGCCAAGGCTGGTCCATGACTCTGACCTTGAACTAAAAAAGGCTGAAAGGAGAGGAGGAAGCTCCTGGGTTACAGCTGGAATCCCAAGGTCCCTGTCCGCAGTGGGTGAGGGGGTAAGGGACGAGCAGAGGTGGGTGGTGCGGAGTGACAGAGCTCAGAGAGGGGAGGGGGCGCTCAGGTATGTGGGAGGATGCCTGTCATCCTGGCAGATCCACATTCCTGCAGGAAGTTTAACGAACAACAAAGACAGCGGGCCGGCACCCGCACATTCGTCTTTCCTGGATTTAAATAGTCCTGCTTCCTCTCTGAACACAAGAACAGATGGAAGCAGCAAATTCAGGTTTTCAAGTCAACAGCTGCAGAAAGTCAGGCGTGGATGCACACTTTAAGATTCTCTGAAAGTGAGAGAAGAAAGAAAAGACCCCTTGGAACATGTAAACTGTAATGGCAATACACATGATACATCTTGAGCTTTAAACAAAATACCAGCTTGCATACCAATACTTAAATAAATAATACCCTTTATATATGAAAAGGCGCTTCTATGAACATGTTTTATGCCTCGTATTTATAAAATCAAACAAAAAAATATAAATTATGACTTTTCTTTTAGCGTGCATCCACTGCACTGTCCTTTAGTCCTTCGGAGGAGACACGATTGACTCATCCATAATTGAATTTCAACTGTCTGCCTCCAGCTCCAAACACCTCGCTGCCACTGCAGTGCTGCTGCAGAGCACACAGTCAAATGAATTGGGAAATGGCCCAGGGCACGCACACACAGAGATCAATTCAAAGAAACAAACGAGGGAAGGATTCTCACCGAAACATTCAGGCACCATCATCGATGGCTAACTGTGCAACCTGAACTCTTTTTGCCTCGTTCAGGCAACTGCGACACAAGCAGCGCCAAAAAGCTCCTGAATTCTTCTTTTTCACTAGCAACTATTTACATTGTTTTTCATTGGTTTCATGGACATTAGACATCATTTTCAGCAGCAGCTTAAGCTTTGCGATTCAAAAAACAGCAACCCGCTTTACTGTAGGAGCTCAGTTCAGGACAATGTGCAGGTACAGTTCTACTGTGCGCTTGCAATTTACCATTTCAGTCTATTCTTGTGCAAGCCAGGTCCAAACAAAAATGTCCTCCATGCTTGGATAGATATGTATTCCACCCTGTTTATCAGCTGGCAATGCCACACAGTCAAACTTATGGCCTGGTGCCACTCTCCATGGCTGACCGCTCTCTGGTATCAACCACAGACTGTAGATTACTTAATCGATCTAATTACAGAAAAGAAAAGAAACCAGAGATAGTCAACCTCCCCCGCCCCTTCTGAGGCCCTCTCCGGAGTGTCAGCCCTATTTCTGACTCCGGCGGGTGTCTCTTACATGCAAGTTTAAGGGGGCCACAAGTGGGAACACCAAGGCACCTTTAAATCGTGCAGCAAAGGTAGTGCAGTTAAGTTTCTCCCTCTGCCGGACATCAATAATCGAGCAGGGAGCCATCAAGCGCTCAAAAGGTTTGAAAGAAATCATAAACTTAGCAGATATTTGAGCAGAACTCCATGCATCCCTTAATCTAGTAAAGTGGTTCTTTGAGGTAATAAAAAGTATTAATTTCACTCTTTAAAAGCACAGGATATAGCTCATCCTCCATCTCCAAAAAGGAAGTGACACGTACTTCAGTTACAGCAAGCACCAAGGTAAAGTGAGACAGGCAAAGGCTTCAACTCTCCCCGTCCATAAAAACAATAAGCAGCACAGTACATATACAAAGATAGCTATCCAAATATACAGATATATAAACAGAATAAATATATGTGTTATCTTTCGCAGTCCATCAGTGTGTGTATATCATGACTATGCATTTCTTATTACCTGGAAGAACATCCACATGTGCAAATTATTGAGTTATTGCCAGTGTCTCTCATAGTCGCGGGAGGAAATGTGTGACGGTCATGGCGGTGGTGGCCTTGTTGCCTCTCTTTGCACGGCCATGCTTGCTGAGGGCGATGTAGAAGCCCTTGTAAACAAAAGACTCATAGGCGTTGTAGTTGTTGGGCAGCAACGTCTCCTTGAACTTGCACTCGTCTACGAAGACTCTCTAAAAATGCCAAGAAGAGAGAGGGGGTCAATAAATCTCATGGCAGACACAGGGTGATCCTCACAACATATGCAAGGTTTTAACGTGACCTTTGCTTTGGCAAACAGCTGGCCTACAAAGCAGGAAACTGGAGGAGGTGGTATGTTGTTGCAAAAGATACCCACCTCCTGCTTTTGCTCTCATAACTCATGAAATAATCCCAGGTAGACTATCTATAGAACTACCCTTTTGCGCACATTTAAATAATCTCCCTGATTTAAAAGGATAAATGCCACTGAGTAAGTGATTACTAAAATAACAATATGTACAGGAATCAGGGACACATTATAGAATAGAAGTCAACACATTGAAGTCCATACATTAACAATGTTTGGACAAAATAAATAAAGTTGTGTATCCCTTATTACAACCATAATACTAGGGCTGAGTATAGTTTAATTTGTATTTTAGTGCCAACAAGATATATGAGTTGTTCTACAATACTTCGCATACCTTAAAGTAAGTTAACTTGCTCCTTTACATTCTTCTCTTTTAAATAAAAGATGAATACATTCCTTCTCATTACAAATCAAAAGGACAGTTGCATATCATAATACACTGTAAACTGTGTTTATACTTTTATACTGTACTGTATACAGTCAGAGATACATTAGTTTCGCTACAAGCCAGAGTAAAATATTACACATTTTACTCGACTACCTTTATCTGAATGACTTGGCAGATTAGGATTTTACTTAACAAACACATCATTGAATAATGCTTTAAAAATCCAAATACCAAAAGTGTGTAAATGAGTTAAACTATACTTAGAAATGGTTCTTGCATGCCACTGCATCAGTAACAACATTCAATATACATATATATACTGTATAAGCACTGGTGTCACTGCATCATGAGTACTTTTGACATAACAAATACATTTGGTTCTGTATTTTTATTTAAACAGTGTTAAGTGCATGACCTTTACTTGTATAAAAGTACTTTTTCCTTATTGCTATTTTTACTAAGGGGTGGGAAGTTCCTAAGTACATTTACTAAAGTACTATTGTACAATTTTGAGGTGCTTGTTTGTCACTTGAATATTTTCATTTTCAGCTACTTCATACTTGTACTCCAGTACAGTTGGGGGGCAGATATTGTATATTTTTCTCCACACCATTTATTTAAAAATATTGAGTTCCTTATGCCACATATATGACAACAAAAACTACAGGATGTTTTTATTGTAAACTGAAAAACTGAAACGTTGACTTTAATTAAATATATTATGTTAACAAATGTCATGCTGCTATTAGGTTTGTTGAAAGCAATCATATTAAGTTGAACCTAATATTTGTACTCGATATTATTGCTTTCAACTTACCTAATACAGTTATGTGAAATCTGTTGACATAAAACATTTAACTAAAGTCAACATTTCAGTTTTTTCAGTGTAGGTTAATATAAGAACATATATCTGAGAAACTACCAAGCAGTAAATAAAGTACTTAAACTTTAGCTACATTCAAGTAATAAACACATTAATGCACAGATTATCCATATCTATTATCTATATATCATATCTAGGGTACTTTTACTTTCGGCACTTTATAGTTGGGAGCTAATACTGAATGTGACTGCAGGGCTTATAACAGAGTATTTTCCCACTGTGGTATTGCTACTTTGGCCTAAGTCAAATATCAGAGTCCTTCTTCCCCCACTGACAGAAGCCCTCCCTATCATCAGAGCATATTAATAACACAACAGCGCTCATAAACCCGGGGATGCAGCAGCTACGTGAACTCATCTTACACTGAGCAGGATGTGTGGTGAGTTGCGCACAAACGTACCGTTCCGTATAACCTTCCCCTGCTGTTCATTGCGACAAACAGCTCACTCCGCACCCCGAACATGCTGATCACTCCTCGGTCCACCGTGGAGATCTCTATTAGACCTAAAGGAAACATAATGTTAGGGAAGCAAAGACAGAGTGTGACGCTGCGCCTGGGGACAAAGTGGAGTGGAAGTGGCCTCTGCAGCAGTGATGGGTGTAACCTTGCAGGTGCATTGCGACTGGATGATGCTCTCTGCTCAATTAGTATCCACCTATTCGCAGATTAAACACCATGATGCCCTGTGAGTGTAGTTTACAGCGTGTTGAGTGTGTGTGTGTGTGTGTGTGTGTGTGTGTGTGTGTGTGTGTGTGTGTGTGTGTATGTGTGTCCTGCTGCAGCGGGACACAGGGTAAAAATAAGTTAGCGTCTAAACCGGGTCCAGGCATTCCTGTCATGTTTTTGGCTTGGGAGGATATTTCGCACTGCACGGATGTGAGGCTCAGTACACTGTTTTTGCTTTCGGAAACTTTCAACCATGCCGACACGTCTTATTAAATATCATGCAAGACAAGCGACCCACTCTAACTTTCGCACAGCATGCGTATAAGGTTACACTCTTATTTCGGGTCCAGTGCATCGCCCGGATGCAACTCACTGTATTGGTTCTCATTGTGTGCACCGCTTATCCTGCCATCCGGGAGCACCTGCAGGTGAAACCCAATGCCCACGTTGCAGTACAGTCGCCGCACTCTTTTGATGCCCTGCAAATAGTCACTCTCCCAGTTCAGCTCTGATTTCCCCCCGGCTATACCCAGGTAGGAGCGGGAGAAGAGCGTCTCCCACTTCTTTTCCATTAAAGTGGCATTAGTCCTGCTCGGAATCGGATAGGATGAAACGATCCCCAAGAGAGAAGTCCACAGTACAAGAACTGCTGGCAGCGTCCAGTGCGTCCTGGCCCAGCTGGACATGCTGTAGAGGCACCTTTGCGCAATGGCCATCCAGTTTACCTTTGGGGCACGTGGTCAAAGTTACCTGCCCTAAAAATGCAACTCTTCTTATTTGTTGTCCTTTGGCATGGTGGTGGTAAAGGCTTATTTTGGGATCAAGGCAGATCAGGGCTCCATAGCCCGAGATCTGAGCAGGAGGAGAGGGGCAGAGCGCGTAGGAGCTTGAATTGGTGCCGGTGGCGATGATCATCTTTCGCCGCTCCGCGCCTCTGTACAGGCAACGCTGGTCGTGGAAGGGACACCACTCACCGCAAAACCAGATCACCTTGCCCACACTCTCACATCCTAAAATGACATCACTGTGACTTCACTGCTACACCCCCCATCAAAAGTATGAGATGGGAGGAGGAGGAGGGAGAGAGAGAGAGAGTTACAGGACCCCAGCAGCAGCAGCACTTCTGATAGGAATGATGAGGGGGTGCTGCACCTTCACATCAGCGTGAAGCAAGCCAGAGAGAACGGGAAGAAGCTTTTCCTTAGGTGCTTTTCAAAATAAAGCCCTTATCAGTGTGGCCGAGTTCCAACTCTTAGAAAAAGTATTACATGCTAAATTGAGTCACCTCACAACCCAGAACTATCAAACCTTATTAAATAAACGACACTTTTAAGGAGAACCTAAACAAAAGCATCAATTGAAAGCAGGAGCAATAATGGAACTGTTCGATGATAATTAAAATGACATCATTCATAGGCTATGGCCTTTGTCTAAGTTGGACATGTTTTAAACAACAATGTATTTGTCATCAACCAGGTCATTAAAAAAACGGATCAATAACTATACAATAAGCTAACATATAAGGATTTAGTTAAGGTGGAGGTAGCCCAGACTTGTTATTGCCATTGAGCAAATGAGGGGAAAACATAAAACTGCAACGGACATTTCATATTTCTGGGGGGACAATTTCTTAGATCAAATATAGTTTCAGACTGTCAGTCAAAATAATTGTGAGTTGCAACCCTTTATTAAAAATGGGGATGTAATTTTCATATCACAAAATGTAGGTACCTGAAATATTATGGTCTATGAATTAACAAATTCTCATCTCAAAGGAATTAGGGGCTTTAATATTTTTCCCAAGTGCTTTTATTTTGAAGGTACACTAACATATTCTGTAAGTTATCCTGTGGCTAATTGTGGCTGACCTGACGCAGCTCTTCCTCACATGGGAGACCTGCAGGAGGGGGGTGTGTGTGTGTGTGTGTGTGTGTGTGTGTGTGTGTGTGTGTGTGTGTGTGTGTGTGTGTGTGTGTGTGTGTGTGTGTGTGTGTGTGTGTGTGTGTGTGTGTGTGTGTGTGAGACTTTCATTGGCGTTGAGCAATCATGGGATGGATGGATGGATACTGTGTCCAGAACCCAAATCGGGACGGTGGTCATATGTCCTGGCAGCCTGCTGCCTTATTTAGAAGGAAGGTGTAAAAACAGTCACAGCCAGTCACAGGAGAGCAAATGGCAGTCTCTCTGACACTTCCTTAGCTGTTTGTTCAGGAAGTTTACACAACCAGATATTTTGCCTGGTCAGATTGCGCATTATTATTGCAAGTTACACACCTTTGTGACTAACAGAATAATATCCCTATGGTGAATCAAATGTCTAGCATTGTTTTGAGTTCAGGTCCAGGAATAAAGAGGTCAAGGAACAGTACTTGTACAAAATAGGGTCAAAATAAAACAGAATAATTTCACATTTTCCCTGAAATGTGGATAAGGTATTGCACAAATAAAATAAGTGAAAGCTTTACATCCCTGTTTGCATCCTGTACTGCAGGGTGGTGGTGGACCTGAAGGCTCGGGGGAATTCCCAGCACGTCACAGAGCGCAGGCTCTGGGGCCCTGGGGTGCTCTTGGCTGCCAGGGAGCCTTAAGCCCACCTTAGCAACCAGAGAGGCCTTGTTGCTCATAAACAGCAGCGGCAAGAGAAAAGAAAACATGCAAACAATAATCCATATATTCCACATGTGGTTGCATGTACACTTCTTCTTTTTAAAAAAAATAATTAACAATGTTGTCAACAATACAATATGAAACATTTTGTTTCTATAGTTTTTATTTAAGAATGTATGTACGAAGTAAAAGACAAAACCACAACCGTTTAGTCCCACTGGAGCAGATAGACTGGACCTCACCGAACCAGCAAATTAATGATTTGCTGTGTAAGCAGATGACTATGCAATCCAAGGCAACCAACAGCCTGAATAGACAAAACTCGGGGCTTATTGACAGAGAGGAACTTCAATCAATGGAGAGTGGGCACCGCTAATGAGACGCTGCTGAGCTCCAGAGATTAATTCAGCTAATTATGTTATACTGGTTGAGGCTGCCTTTCGGTAAAAACATCTTTTATAAAATAAAAAGCAACGTACAAAAAAATACCACTTCTCGTTAAATATGAACTTGAATAAATTATACTAAAATGACATACATGTGATACAGAGCTATTCGATGCCTATCAAAGGTAAGAAAAATATTAAACAAAGTCCAAGACAAAATCTCTGTCTTGTTTTCTCAGACCAGCAGTTCAAAACACAAATATATAAAATGCACTATAAATTAAGCTAAAGAAATTGGCAAATTCTTCCATTTGAGAAGATGAAATGCGTGGCATTTTTGCTTTAAATACAATTTAAAGTACAACTCCATTGATTTAGTACTGCACTTCCATGAAGTTAGGTAACTCAGAAGAGACAGATACATGTCCAAACTTAAAAATCAATGGATGCTACATTTTCCATAAAGCAATAGTGTATTTCAATACACCAAAAATGCTCAATTATTTTAAAGTCTACAGCTGCATAGTTGGTAAAGCACATATATTATACCTCAACAAAAGTCCTCCTTTAAAAAAATGTAATACAGCAGTCAAGCTTGACTGGACAACCCTGAGTCACAGTAGAGAGGGAGCTGGATGGAAACTTGCCCACATAACACAGCAAATTGATGTTGCCTATGGACTCACGTTGATGGAATATATCAGAGCTGTAGTGGAATTCTTGAAACTAGAGACTGGAGCAAGAGAAAAGTGTCTGCACTTTCCTATTGTCAGGTCAGCTGTCCTTTTTGCAATTAAAGGATCTATTTAGTGCATACGCATCAATCAGAAAACGGACCAGAGGGAATAGCCATACAAACAGCTTGTGTGCATATTACCGAGGTGTCAGTAACTGGATACAGGAGGATGCAAAGCTCTTTCAATTACTGTTTTATTAACGTGGGCTTTAAAAGATGAGATTGAAACAACAGCTGGGGAGACCCAGAGATCGAGGGGGGATTTCCCTGGAATGACATCAGAAATGCTGGCATACACAAGCAATAATACTCAGTCCAGCTGTGTATGTATATACAGATGACACAGAACAGCAGAACATTCATATCTTGAGTATTTATGTACGCTTGTATAATATAAAATAAGCCCACAAAACCTGGGACCAAACTTTACATTATTGAGCGGCTGGCAGTGATGTTGTGATCGATCATAAACAATTGGATTTCATTGGATCCAGTGGAGCAGGGGCTTGTAAAATTGTTAAACCCTAAAAGGAGCTTCAGGGTTCGGACTTTTGCTGAGCAAGCTAATGTTTAATTCAACAGCCAAAAACTGCACTGCATTTTTCCAATGCTGCTTTGTAAAATTGAGACACAGTGGAGAAGCCACAAATCCATAGGGAGCCTGAACTGGCACGCCGTGTTACCAGAACATACGCAGGAGCAGAAATATATATTAGGAGATCTGTTCTGCTTCCTCCATTATTATTGTGTCAAGCTGCAGAGAGAAGACAAAGAGCAGCCTGTCAGAAGGGAGTGTTCACAGTACAAATATATTTTCAAGGGTACAGCTTGTGCACCTTGCAGAGAAAGATGTGTCTGCTGCTAAATTTGGCGTGGAGTGACTAAGGGGAAAAGAACCAAAGCAGAGGTGACTTTAACACCGGTTACAAATCCAAACCAGTGACACAGCAATTATTATTTTCATGTCCCTAAGATATACTAAAAAAAGACCCATTGAGCAGCAGATAACAAAAACTAAAGAGTAGACAAATTATGGAAAATGTATCTGTACGCTAGACAAATGCTGCTACATTTTTACATTAAGGTTTGCTGATTTTCACTGTTATATATGATAATAAAACAATGTCTTGGACTGTTTGGGACATTGTATACATTTTTGCAATGTGCTCATTTTACAAACCAAAATATTGATTGATAATATGTTGATGATGAAAACCAACATGAGTTGCAGCCCTTGTTTCCTTGAATAAATAAGAATTGTAAATAAAAAAGAGTTTAAGGAATTATTTGTACTGCATTCCATTTTGGTACCAAACCAACATTTAGGAAACTTTTTGAAGAATCAAATCACAATTGTATTGCTGTTATAAAAAAAAATTTGGAGATCTTTTTGGCAACTGAAACAGATATTGTCAATTCTTTGATTACATCTTCGGGAGCATTAAGTTATTAGTACATTTTGGCAACACATGTTCCCCCTGACATCAATGAAAGTAACTTCCAATCTCACTACAACATTCAAACCACAAAATGACTACCTATATTTGGAGGGTATGAAAAAAATGCTACAACTAACAGCCGTGGATAACCATGCACTCTGAATGATGGTGAAAGCTTCCCATCATGACCATTGATCTCCATTTAAGCTCAGTAATCACATTGCATCCCAAGAGAGCTGAAAGATGTGGAAAAGAGTGTCTAACAAGACATGATCAAATGGTTTCTGGAGTGTTTCGCGATGAGCTGTGAGTGCGAGCTCAGCAGGGTTGTCCGTTTACAAAACCTTTCGCCCTAAAAAACTACAATTTTACAGAGCAGATTTTTGGCCAATTGATTCAGGCTCCAAGAAAACCATTAGTCTACAAACAAACAAAAACCCATTACATCACATTTCTGTGGATAATGTATTTGTTATCAATCTGATAGTGTATAAGACTCGTAGACTTAAGGGAGCTCTACTTTTCTTAAAAGTCTTCTACGTTTAGCTTGTTTTTCATCAAGCTAAACGTAGAATATGTGGACATGGAGGCTGAGGTGTGGTCAGTGCCACATCCTCGACCATACCAAACGTCTCCTTCAAGGCAAAAACTGGCAGCCGTCTTTCCTCGAGTCCACGAGGAAAACTCTGTTTACTTTTCTAGTTTAGGCCATTGCTCATGTTACAGATCTCATGACTAGTGATCAACATGGTATTATAACTTAAATGGTAGCTTGAACCACACTTCTCCAAATTATCAAAAATAATTACAAAAGCTGGTTCTGAAATTGTATGTAATTGTGTGTTTATCTTGTATTTCATCTCCATTGTACCAAATATGTGGACATGGAGGCTGAGGCTTGGTCAGTGCCACATCCTCGACCATACCCAACGACTCCTCCAAGGCAAAAACGGGCAGCCGTCTTTCCTCGAGTCCACGAGGAAAACTGTGTTTACGTGGCCGCCATGAGGCTGGACAGTTTGGTTTATGGCTGTAGGAAGAGATAGAGATCAGAGGAGGTGTCAGCTGCTGAGTCGGCAGCCGATTCCCCCTGGCTCCTCTTCCCTCTCTCCCAGGAACCCAACACCGAGCCAGGCCACCGGGACCGAGCAGGAGAATGTGAGGAATTCTCTCAACACATTTGCTCACTGCTTTGCACGTTCTCACCCCTATGGGATGTAAAGAGTGCCGCCAGGCCTGAGGATGCGACCACCTTGCTCCACAGTGAGGGTGGGCGAGAGGCGGCAATGAGCGGAGGATCAAGGCAATTTGGCTGATGGGTAGAGCAGAGCGTCAGGAATGGCACGCTGCTGAGAGAGTGAGTCATCCTGGACAGAGCTGCTGTCATTCGGCCAGCACAACAAAGAGCAGATCATTTATTTTTGTCACGGCCCCTGCTGGATGAAATCTAAACCCACAAGGAGTTGATCAAAGCTCCTGCCTCTCCTGGAGAGCAAAATGATATTCAAGAAGGATCTAGAAGAATCAGTTGTGGTTAACCCAGGACCGCTTTCTTGGTCTTTTTACAGCAACACAAGATTTCAAACAACATTTTCTTTACTTTTGCAATACACTCTCAGGTCTGAGACCCAAAAGCATGTCACTAGGAAAACAGACCTACTGTAGTAGCAATGTTCTTTACCAGGTCAAAAGGCACCTCAGACAATTGAGAGGTGTAAATAATAAAATGAATAACCAGTTAATTCCATTCAGCTGCTTCTGGTACAATGTAGCATGGAACTCAAATGACCTTGCACAAAGTGACCAATTGAGATTAGATAGAGATAATGACACCATGACAACCTGCCTTTTTTGGTACGCCCAGGATATTACTTTCTCTAGTTTAGATCATCGCTCAGGTTACAGATCTCATGACTAGTGATCCAAATTATATTATAACATAAATTGTAGCTTAAACCACACTTTACCTATCAAAATAATGTAAGAAAGTTGGTTGTTAAATAATTGTTCTCATACTTATGATTATTAAGTTTAGTTTAGTTCATTTCTGTTGTGCTTTAACTTATACATCTCAAATATAAATATAAAAAATAATACAAGTTTTTCTCTCATTTTTGAAAATGAGACAAACGTAAGGTTTATGTCTTACAGCAAGCCTTTTTACATTCATATTTTTACATTTGTACTTAAATGTATACACTGACAATAAAATAAACAAGATATGAGTATACTATATACCTAAAAATAATATAGATATTCTGAGCCAATATTTTATTTAGTATATTATTTGTAATTCTGACTGATGAATGGACTGTATGAAGGAAAACAGCATCAGACACCCCCCTGATGAAGGCAACACAGCATGGAGTTTTAGCGAAGGTTGTACAGCACGTTTTCATTTTGGATGATGGTCAGAACTACAGAAAAGGTCCAGATCGGACGGATTTCTCTGCTGCACCTGAACCCATCCCTCTCACATGTGGACATCGCCCTCTGGTGTCAAACAGATGTTAGGACACCAGGGCCTGTGTGAGGGGAGATAACTCACTGCATTGCAGCACTGGAACGCTGGCATGTGATCGGGATCAATGTTACTTCACTTTGAATACAACTTGTGAGTGGTACATCTATTTGCAAGAAGAGTTTAATGACTTAACATAAACCACATTAGCTCCATCTGATGCATTATGTGCTGTCCATATGCTTAACTAAACATGTAGTAAGTAAAACAACTGTGTCATCCCCTGCATTGCAGCTATAATGTGTCTCAGTGGAATATATAGGTAAAATAACCTCAGGGCATCATTTGGTTCATAATGGGCCACTGAGACAGAGCAACATATTCAAATAAGTGTCTATTTATTTGCTTACCAACTGATCTCTTCTAGAATTTACATTAAAACTTGTGACTATTTTTAACTATCTGACACTCCTTCATTAAGGAGTACCATTCCTTGTGGGGAAACTAGGCTACAGTAAGTGCACTGCTGCTGCCAGAAGTATGTGCACACTGATTGGTTATCAAAGATGGCCGTGTGTTTTGTGCACAGTACGGCGTGGGAAATGCACAACAGAGAATTTGATACAGCTGATCCATCAACGAATGAGGCAGCAGTGAGCGCCGTGCATCCCAAGCATGACGACACATAAGTCACAGAGGTTTCATGTGCTTGTGTCCTTTTGCCTGTGACCTCTCCGTTAAAAGGTCGTCCTAATGAGACTGCTCACCGTGTGCCCTTCAAGTGCCACGCTGGAGTGCAGGAAACAATGCTGGGTTACAAATGCTATTTCGAATGGTGTCACGGCGTAAAACTGGCAGCGTTGAATTATGGCCCGCCCTTTGATGCTTTTTATATCCCTGCTGTCTTGTCAACACATATGATCATACAGCAGATTCCTGATCCAGGGCCTGGAATTGCCATTAGAGAATCTAAAAAACATCTTGTCATGATGATTCAGCACATACAAGTCTTTTTCTTTTTCTTCCTATGGCTTTCCTCTACTCTAGAGCAGAACAAGTCTTACAGCTTGTCTGACAAACAGTAGAACGTTTTTTTTTAAAGAATCATCATCTCAAAGCTGATTATATATTGTTTTTATTATCCCATGCATTCTCTTCCTTGTCAGAAATGGACACCAACATCGCCCACAATTCAACTCAGCAGTTGAGTTTGGTTAGGGATGTGGTTGTTAAACATTTTTTGACAAATCCAATGAATAACATTTTCTAAAAGCTCCAACTTAATAATATAAAAATGTGGGAAAACCAAACAAACATGGACGTGAACTATCTGCCAAAAAGCCTTGTTTAAATCCATTAAACCTACATTTAACTGATAAGAGTTTTTATTGTCACAGTATTTTACCACTCACATGCTCGGTTCTGTAGTCTTACAGCTGTCTTGATGACGCGCTTGCTCTCAGGTCATTAACAATAAAATCGTACTCCCATCCATCCAAAAGGACATGAACACAGCAAAAGACCATAACCTGTGATGAGGGGTCACAAAAAGGTGGGCAACCTTTGCTCTAGCATACTCGAAATACTTTTAAATGTGACAGACTAACACTCACTAAGACTAGGACACCCTATGTCAGTCACCTGCACTAGGTTAAACAACCAGAATTACTTGTGCAAAGGTCTTAACTTATATCACTTTCTTTATTACTGTGGGTTTTGCTTTATCTTCCATAATAGATTTTTTAAAGTTTGTGCAGTCACAAGCCCACACTGAAATCTCTTTGTGATTGTTCCTCTCCGGTCCCTCATCTTCTTTGCAATTAGCTTTGTGGCTGCCGCGTGTGTACTCCAAAAAAAAAAGTCAGCGAAAGCATGCACTTAAGAAGACAGGGTCTTAAAAAACAAACTCCGGAAGCCACTGATTGACAGATCTGTCTGCCCACTCTGGTCCGCTGGCTGAAGCCGCGGCTGCTGTGGTTGTGCTGCGGTTGCCACTGGTCCAAGGCCATTTCTAGGGTACAATAACAACACCACATTGACACTGCAACGTCGCCGGATATCCGAAAAACGTAGGAACTCAGAGAGACATATTTAGTCTAAGACATGTAAATAACTGCAGAATGGCAATGAATACTCTCATTGACAGAGCATTCTGCCTTTATGAACGACTCAAAATACATCCAGCTTTCTGCATCACAACAGTTTATGAGTAGAAAAGTGGAACTATTTTTGGTACTTTTATCACTTTACAGAATCTTAGTCATGGCAAGCTATTGCATCTCACCTAAAATATCTCACTACTAAAGAACCAAGCTATTTTTTCTTTGCTCTGCGTGGAATGTAAATAACAACAGTGCAGTCTCCGCCTTCGGAACAACCATACAAGGACAACGGCGCTGGACTGAGAGAGCGCCACACAAAGTGCCACTCTGAGATGCTGCATAATGATGGCAGTCAGTCAGTGGTTGAGGGGGAAAACTGCCTCCTGACCACTTCCAACTAACAAACTCAAATGAAGACCACTGATGACCTCATGACTGCCAGGCCAGTAAAACCAGCTGGTTGTCTAATTCAAAAATAGTCTGGTAATGCTGCCGGGGACAGATACAAATGACTGTAATTGTTTTGTTAAATATCATGAAACAGGTGGATATAATTCAAAGCAATTAAGATGAGGTGGAAAATGTGTGTTTTATTACTTATTATGGGATGATTTGAGGGTCACTAACTTTTATAAATATGTCCTTAATATATAGATAGCTATTGGGATTAGAAACAAATATGCATACCCAAATATAGGTTAAAAAGAAATATATAAACAATTCTAGTAAAATAAGTTTAGAAAAAGACAAGTAAGCTCTCCAATAAAGTGTTGTCTTATACACAGCACAATTTAAAAGACGATATTACAAACATTTCAGTCCCAAAAGACCTCAATTACCTCATTATTTTTATACTTTGGTGATTTAAAGCATCCAAAGTGAATATTTGTGCACCACTGAGTACAAATGTAGGAACACACTTTACTTATGTTAAACATTTAACATCACATACCTAAATATTTTTAACTTGGCACAACTTTCAGTACGTTTTGTTACCAGTCATATACTAGGAGGGAATTTCTACTTTTAGTTAAGTGAAACATTTATATGCACTACACTCTGTTCTCCGTGTGCCTTTGTTTGGGAACATACAGTATGAGTGGAGGTGTTGCAACTTTCCCTCTAACAATATAACTATAAATCCTTTCCTGTACTAACAGAAAAAAGAGGTGCATGTACCAGATAAATGGGATTGTCATCAAATGATTACCATAAGTAAAGAGGTTACTTTTATCAGCATTATTATTGTCAAGAACACAATATAAACATCTTTATGTGTGAAAGCATGATGTTGTGACCACAGTGTTTGCATGACTGGATCTGATATTTTGGTCATGGCTGTAGGCAGCGCTGGAGGAGTTGAGGAATGTGTGACCACAGGGCCCTTTGGCCCCACGTCTTCCTCCCTTGTCACGGACCATCACACCCTTTAAAACGTCTCAGTCCAGGTCCACTAAGTGACAAACCGCAGCCGACAGCCACCCACTCACAAACTGGAAAATGACAACCCTTAGGAAGCTGCTGCTCTCTTAGACGTGCAGTAAAAACGGAGCGATTTCCCTTTTTGCTGCACTTCAGAGGGAGCCGGGATTGCTTCCGCCCTGAGAGTGGGCGACTGGGAGGTTGTAGACATGTCATGTTCATGTCAACCAGCAGGTCACAGTCTGTACCTCTGTGATCTGAAGTCCTGGAGCGTCAGACTCCTGCTGCCATCTGCTGGACTGCTGGCTCAATTCACTCATGGGCAGAGGTGACACAGACATGGCCTGCAAACAGAGACACAGAAAGGTTTCCATAAAGTCAACGGTTTTCATCATTACACCAGTATCTGCTTTATTGCCAAGTAGGTTTTAACAAGAAATTTGATTTTGTGTATTGGTGCATGGAGAAACACAATAAATATAAATATAGAATAAATGAAAATAGAAATTAATTTTTTTATTCAGAAATATGTAAAATGTGTGAGGTATACAATAAAGCAAAGCTAATGGGTCAAATCAAAATGGGACTTGCCATGGTAAGTATAGGGGGGGACATTTAACATTAATACCAGCATATAGTTGTGAAGTTGTTTAAATCTGCACACAAGAAAGGACAAGACAGAAGTATTTACATGAATATGACAATGACTTTAGATATTTGTGTCCTCTGTCTACTCTATAGTATTCCTCTAAACCCCTAATATTTGTTGAATAATGAACATGAATCATTTCTTTTTTTAAATCCCAAAAATATGTTTATTGTTTTGAGTCTAGTCCCACACACTCCTACATGTTCACTCATGCAAACTTAGGTTTGGCAGCCTGGTACTGAAGTGTTTGTAATGAGTAATTACCTTACACTCTGTCCTCAAATGTGTTTTTATGGCAAGAGGAAATATTTATTCAGAAGAACAGGAAGCAGACAGCAGGTGGTAGGTAGCGGATGTTGTCCTCACTAGTCATTTTTTGGTATAAATACTAGAGTCTAATGGGTTTGATATGTACATAATCAAAGCTAAACATGATCACATATCAGCAGATACTGATATGTGACAGTTGAAATCAGCTGACTTCTGTTTTAGTTTTTTTTACATGAACGGATACCATAAAACACAGTTTTTATAAAATTCCTTTAAATAGGGTAATTAAAGCAATGTGAACGAAAATGTCCAATACATACACTGTTGTGTGCTCTCTGCTGGACAGTTTGTGTATTGAAGGCATTGTTTACATTTGTCACATAATGTGTATCTGTTTACATGTTGAGTTGTTTAAAGCAAATTAAAATGGCTTTTTAGATAAGCTATCTGCATTGTGTTTATTTGTACTCAGCAGTACAATAAATTCCCAATACGTGTTGTGTCATTCTTCACTATGACTTATTTTATTAATATGAACATGACTGTAACTGTATGGGATCGACCGTAGGCCTATAATGAACCCAGGTGCTCTACTTTTATACATTTAAGCTAGCCATGATGTTCACAGCCACAACACAGTACATTTATGATATCATTACTAGCGCACAACTATAATTAAGACCCCATATTATACTATGAAAACGTCAAAATATCCCAAAACAGAATAATACTAACCAGATTGAGCACAGCTCCATCGCAATAAAACAATAATACAGTATGCACTACAGGGTATTTATCAGAAGCACATTCGACAGATTTTCAGAAAAATATGGAATAAGTGCCACTTGTATATTTATAAATGTTCGATATCAAACCTCCTACTGATAATCATTTCCTGCTTTAGTCCTATTTTTTAAGGGCTACAAGAGACACATATACATGTATTTTAATAAACGAATCTGCTACCGGTATTCGTCAAATTAGTCAACACAACGTCACTTCTGCTCGGTTCAGGCGGGAAGTTGAAAATAATAAGCGCTTCACTTGGCTGCTCTGTAACAAAACTAACATGCTGGTTAGCTATATCAGTACTAGAAGACACAATTCACTCGGTGAATGTACCGTTAGCATTTGAAACAATTAAAGCTAGGTAAGGCTAACTAACATTAGCTTGTGTTTCAGAAGCAGCTAACCCAGCGTTGACGTGGTTAATGTAAACTGGATAAACAAACAATGGACCGACCACCAAGGTTTGTGAAGACCTTTTTAGAAACCTAACTCTTTGCTCGTCTGATGTTGTTAATGTTCATTAACGCTAACTCGTTGTTTATCCTTGACACACAGGAAAACAAAAGTTGTGAATTACTCTGAAGCAAATGCCGTTGATGATGGTAAGAAATCATTGGCCTTTTACTCCTCAAATGCATTGTAATTTTCAAGATATTCACACCATCATGTAAAATGGAAAAGTTAGGTTGAACGGATAACTGTTGGACAGGTTTTCTTTATTATTCCATTTGCAATAGCAACATGTTTGAGCTTCAGATTTCCCATATTCAGTTAGGGGGCAGTAACAGGATCTTGGTAAGCAAACTCATACATTTAAACAAAACTAAGTAGAGAGACAATTGTTTTAGCAATATTGACCAGACATCCAACCGAACACTTAATAAGGTTTTATTTACCCTAATATCTTATGGGTTTACTGCCTGCAACACGTACAAGGAGAAGAGCAATGACAGCTCATACTGTATGAAGAGGTAAATATAACAGGGCTGAAACTAATACATATTTTCATTATTGATGAATCATCATCATTTTCTAGATTAAAACGTTGATCATTTGGAAGAAGAACATGTCCCCTGTTGAGAGGCTGTAAACAGCATTTTTGCATTAACAATTACAAATCATGACATCATTATGTAATGTTATCGGCTTCAGCTCTGCTTCTCCCACCTAACATATCTAATTGTTCTGTCTTAATGTTGTGACAGATGAGGATTTTGCTCAGGCTCCACCCAGGAAAAAGGCCAGGGAGGAGGTGAGACAGGAGCACATGAAATCATCGAGCAAGCCCTCCAGTCAGGAGTCCGACTCACCATCCACACAGAGCCCGAAGAGCAGGTACAGTAAAGACTAGATAATGGGACATAATGTGGAACACAAGATGACTTATTATTACTTGGAATGGGAGAAACATTGAAATTCCTTTTTAGATTTTTGTGAATAAATGAAGTCTGTTGTTTAGCATAAATAACATTGAATGCACTCTCAGTCTACAAGTTAAATGAATGATAACGTAATGATGTCTTTGTTCATTTGAATACCACAAATTCAGAAAGAGACGTGCAGAGAGAGCTAGCAATACTTCAAGTTTATCCAAATAAAGATTGTTTCATGTAATTTGATTCAAATTGTCGTCAACAATAGCCTACATACACATAATGTGGCGTAGTTCACCTGAGGTATGTGCTTTGGATTAAAGCTCTCACTCTAGTGGATAAACAGTAGTGTGTAGTTAAAACAACTCATTTCAGAGGGTAACATTTTATTGGGATGACTTTGTGTTATTTTCTTTTTTTTCCCTTTGGGATAAGTCTTCAAAATGTAAAGTAAAAAAATAATTAATCAGTTTGTTATTTAAGATATTTGAGAACAAATCTGAAAAACATCCTGACACTATAATCTTCCTGACGTTAATTCTGTTCTTCACAGAAGACCATTAGATGTGAAGCTGCTTGAACGGGATCTAGAAGCAGCCATTACATTGTCCTTGCTCAATAATGCAGATGGGATAAAAGAACAGTCGGACACCAGTAAAGGTATGATAAAGCTCTGACAAAATTAATCCAATTGTCTATTTTTGAAGAGTCGTCAACTTAAATGAATGTTATATCTCTTAAGGAGATGTCAAGGTTCAAGTTCCAGTCGATGAAAACATTGATCCGTCCTCTTTGCACCTTTCCAACTGCAGCGTCCTTTTGGGTACATTTCCCTTCTTTTCTTTCTGTTATTGCACATTTAATTTCCACATGCTGCCCAAATACATTGAATGTAATATTGTTTGATAAGTGGTATGAAGGCTTAATGCTTTTATTTATTTATTTTATCTTTAGACCTGGATGATATCACATCAGAGAGGGAGTCAGCGGTCCTATCGAGACAGAGAAAGTCTGCCTCTAAAGCCGCTCAGGCGCAGAAGAAAACGCTTGCAGATGACGATGAAGAATATAAACCCAAACTGACACCAGGTTGTTACCCTGCCGCCCCTCTCTTTTAGTACTTGATTTACATTTTTTAAACAACTATTAACAAAAAAACCTTTCCAGATTCAGAGAGTGATGAAGACTTCAGTGAACCAGCTGAGAGCGACGAGGAGGAATTCACAGTGAAGAAAATAAGCAAATCAAAAAAGGAGAAAGCTACCAAGTACGAGAAGACCAAACCACCTTCTGCCTCTAAAAAAGAAAAGCTACCATCAAATCCACCAAAGTCTAAATCACCGGCAGCAGGTACGTTCTTGAAGTTCATTAAAAAAAATCTGCTTTCTTGACTGTTGTTTTACTTATTCGTATTATTTATTAGAACTACTTTGTCTCACAGCAGTTTCCACACCAGTGAGGAGTCCTCCAACAGCTCAAGCTGCACCCAAAAGACCTCCTTCATCGTCCACAGTTTTCACAGCGAAACCTGCGTTGCCTCTGAGCCCAGCAGGGGGCAAAATACCCAAGTGGACCCCACCAGGTGAACACCCACAGTATACCAGATTTGTAAAATGTTTTGTAAATAACTTTTTTCAGACTTAGGCTTTTTATTTTTTTATTTACAGATACATACTTGAATATAACCTCAATTATAACCATTTAACATAAATGTTTATTCTGGGACCTACTCAAATGACCACCTATACCAGGGGTGCCCAACCAGTCGATCCCGATCGACCGGTCGATCGCGGGGAGATTCCCAGTCGATCGCGAGATGTGTCTAAAAATAGAACAACAATATTCTGTTTTATCGTTAACGTCCTATAACATAATCTTCCTGTGGCAGAATAATGCCCTTGAACGCATCAAAGCTTTGTGATTGGCCGGCGTGACCCCATGTGTCGGGGCGTGGCTGGTGGGCAGTGCACTAGTTCGCTAACGTTGTCCGTGTCAACAGGAGTGACAGTCCGCACACACACAAGACCGCAATTATGGCAGAAGCAAAACATATATAATGTTCACTCCGAGTGGGAGGATGATTATTTTTGTATCTATTCCAATTCAAAGTCCATCTGTCTCATCTGCAATGCGAGCGTGGCTTTATCGAAGAAGGGTAATTTAGGAGCGGCATTTCAAAACAGTGCACAAACGCTACGAGACGGAATTCCCTCAATTCTGCCCTACGCTCCAAAAGGGGAGGGGCCTGAGAGGAGAGCTAAATGCACAGCAGTCCATTTTCACCAGGTCAACAACAAGAGCAAGGCTGCTACCATAGCATCTTATCGTGTCAGTCACGTTCTTGAGAAACACATGAAGTCTTTCAAAGACGGCGAAGTTGTGAAAGAAGCATTCCTGGCTGCCGATGCGTAATAAAAATAACAGAAGCATTTCAACAGGTTTTTGATATAATAAAAACTCAAGTTAGATACCGTTATTAATCAGCTGTAAGTTTTAGTTTGTTTGAACTTTCATTATAATTATTGTACAAAATGGTATAAGAATGCAAACTTAAATTGATTATAGTCTATTATCAATTCAGGTTAAGAAGCTAGTGTTGCTTGCTTCCTATTTTAAAGGCATTTCTTTTTATACTCTAATAAAATACAACAAAAAAAGGGTTTGATTCTATTAATGTTGTCTTTGTTATTGCACGTTGGCAGCAGATTCCTGAGTAGCTTCAGATCTGAGTTGTCTTATTAGTAAGCCTCATTTATACTTTTGTAGCAACACTATTTTTATATAATGGCAAAGAAAGGGTTAAGAGTCTTTTCTTTTTTTCCTGTGTCATATTTGGCAGCACTGTTCAATGCTTCATGAAAACATTACCCACTGTAGTGACGTGTGGATAAACTCCAACTCTGTATCAACAACACTGTTGTGTAACTTCCATGGATAAGTACCTCGTATGACCTTTCTTTTAACAATCTGATCTGTAAAACTTATTGAAGCTTAGTAGGTTTCTAGAGTAGGTTTAGATGAATGAAACGCTATTGTTACCTTTCTTCTCTCCCAGCTCAAGTTGGTAGAGGTCCTTCGTCTTCGAGTCCAGCAGTGAGGTCTCCGGGTCAGGGTCTGCGGCTCGGACTGTCCCGCCATGTTCGAGTCAAACCTCTTCACCCCAGCCTCACCACTCACTGACCTGTCAGATGTGTTGTCGTTTTAGCTTCATTTTTAAAAGACGCTTGTGAATATTCATTTCTGTTTGAAGATTACATGTAAAGTAAATATTTTCCCATGAGGCTTTGGTCAAAGATAGAACAGTCATAGACTCAGGCTCTGGTTGTTGGATGTCAATCTCTATCAGAACAGTAATTGTGTTGAATTACTTTTCACATTTCTTTGATGTATGTACGTTCAAGATAAACTGTTGTTGGTATGACTGGCAAGTTGAAATGATCCACTTTTTTGTCTCAGCATTCTCCCCTTTCCTATTGTGTGCAAACACTGTAAATTGTGTACATATACAAATAAAATTTAAAACAACTTTAACTTTTTGTTGCGGTTTTTCCATGAGCTGCAGTTGAGTTGGCTGCTTTACTGTATTAAAAAAAAGAGTTTAGCATGAATAAGGTTTCAGACTGCTACAATTTAAACATTTGTCTCAGTTATTATGTACTGGTCAGGAGGGGGAACAAAGGGAAAGATAACAAATGTTTGGATGATCTGGAATGCAGATTATGTTCTGATGCTCTCCCCCCTAAATGCTGTCATTATGCTGAGCTAAGCTAATTGGTGACAGGGTAGCTTCATGTTTAAGAGACGAGAAGTGAATCTCAATATTTACTCTAACTCTCTCCAAGAAAGCTAAAGAGTGCATTCTCCAAAATGTTTTTACTACTCAAGGAAACATCTAGAGCTTTGAATGTCTATGTTCAGCTTTAATCTAATTAAAACAGTTTGACAAATAAGCTAAACGCCAAAGAGTTTAAATCATTTATTTAACATAAACTATACTATGACTATATGTTTTTGTTCACCCTTTAAAAGGACTTTTTCATTTTTCACATAATAAATGGTGACTTTTTAGATATACTATACTAAGATGTTTTGTGGTGTTTTAAACATATTATTACTTTTTCCATTATATTTCTTCACATACTATACTTTTATCAACATGCTAAATTGACTTTTCTTCTTGATTTGATATTCAGCAGCGTTTTCTAGAGCCGAACACATTGAACCCATCTTTTGTAAAGATACATTGTTGAAGAGGTGCAAGGCTTAAAACTTGAGAGTTTGCCTATGTGTCTGCCCCAATTTAACCTCGCTCCTAGAGTCATTATTGTACTTGTTAGGGAATAATTCTCCTGGACTCCTAGATATCTAACCTTTTTGCCCTTTGACGTGTATGACCAACCCTGACGTCTGTTATCTCCCTTAAGGAAATGGGCTGCTTCAGCCATAATGTTGTTGTTCCCATTCTGTGACCGGGCAACCCTGGCCACAGATGGTTTATTGTTGTGGGTACACTGGGACACTTCCTTCTTGGTGTTTGTGGACTCCAAGGTGTGAAATCTTCAAGACCACAAGTGTCTCAAGTAACTCAGTGTTCCCAGCTGTTTAGGCTATCTTCTCAAATATGTTGATTACTCTCTGTGAAACCAGTTAAATGGGCTAACGAGAGAGAGGCGCTCCAGAATTGATGTGGCAACTCTCCCGTGAAGTCAGAACCTCTGACTCTGACTTGTGATGTGAATCCTCCGGCCGAACCTCCTAAATAAACCATCAGTGTTTGACATTAAAGCTCTTGCTCATCCCGTGTCTCCTTCATGAGTGACTCCCACTGCATTGCTACACAGAAGTTTCCCCCACAATACTCTTAATAAAAGAATGTGTTCTCAGATTTCAAATGTCCCCCATCATCCTCTCTTGTGAGGGTTTTATAGGATCATTTGAGTAAACAACCTGAGGGACTGATTTTTACCCCATATCATGTCCTCAGTGGGTGTCTATCTCCACATACAATACTTTCATGCAAGCAAGAAACGACATAGTGTCTGAAAGCACAAAGCAGGATCACACCCAACACCTCCCTCCTTTGCCTTTATACTTTAACCAAACACAATAACATCTGGTAATGGAAAGATCAACTAAGGCTTGCTCTACGTGTCTCTCAATGTAGTTTCCTCGGACTGGCTGCTTTAATATCAGATTGCACAAGGATGTAGTGTCCTGTTTGCTTTTCAACTGCTGATGTATGAATAAGATCATTATGGGTGGGGAACAAAGGGCTTAGTAAAACATGTAACACAAACAGTGTGCCTAACATGATAAAAACACAGATAATATAACTTTTTTCCAAAAAAAACTATCAGTCAAAAACACTTTGCAGCCCTGACCTCCTGATTTACTCGCTTGAAAACAGAAGGAAGGAGTTTTGCATGAGCAGAAATAAAATGTAAAAGATGTTATTAGTAATATTTAGTTCATTTTGTATCTGCAGCATCATCAGATACAAGGTGAACATCATAAGTCTCAGTCCTGATCCAGTAACCTGCAGAGTTCTGCTGGTTTTCTCTCCCCCCAGGTGACTACAGCTAATGATTCACACCTGGTGTAATGCAAGAGAGGCAGCAGAGCAGAATCAATTGAAAACCACACTTCACACAAATCTGTCTGAGAACACAGCTGTGGTTTGTCAATGCGTGTTGGCGTTGTATTTGGATAAGGAGGGTGAAAGTGAGAGCACCTGAAATTAAAAGCAGGGGATTATTTTCAGAAGACATGCACAGAAGCCCCAGGATGAGATCTGGCTGGATTAAAGGATTCCTTCTGGCCTTTGCCATAGCTGGGTCTCTTCTTTACCTCGGCTCCATAAAGAAGGAGGTTCATACCCACTCAGAGAGACTTAGTAGTGCCCATCACAACGACTCCATCAGGGGTCAGGGGATGCTCAACAGGATGGACAAGATGGAAACAGACATCAACAGACTGCGTGAGTCTCAATGGGCTGCTTCTTACCTTATCAAATCATTCAACTTGATTTCAATACTTAAGCATTTGAGCATTTGATTTGTTGTTTTCCAAGTCAAAAGATTAATCAGAATCAAGTTTATTGTCAGGTACGTTTACACATCAAGACATTTGCTTTGGTATCCGGTGGTGCGTACATTAACAATCTAAAAACATTAGTTGCAAAGTAGGTGAAAAAAAGAAATATATAAGGATAACAAGTATTTTTAAGAAACAATTTAGCATGGAAAAGTATTTACACCAAATGTATTATTTAACTATACAAATAATATGTCTAGATTGAATCTGGACCAAAATTGGATGAAAAGGAAAGTGTTTTTTAGATATTTAAATTGTCCAATTTATATAATAAACAATGTTTATTGGATAGGGCTGCAGCTAACACTGGTTTCCATGATCGATGAATCTGCTGATAATAATAATAATTGTTATTGAAAGAAAAATACACATTTCCAAAAGCCCAGGTGACATTTATTTGGTAAAGTAAAGCAGCAAGTGTCACATTTAAAACTGGATAATATTTTATATTTGTCCCTTGAAAATAGACTCAAATAATTAAATAATTATCAAAATATTCTGGCTGTTCTAAAAGGTGGATGGGCTGTACATGTCAAAACTCCCCCAGTGCAACAGACTAGTGTTTCTTATTGACATTAGGCGTATTCTGTTATGTTATAGGGAAGAAAACCTGTATTTAAAGTCAGTTGTATAAAGCAGAAGAAGGGTTAAACCTTATATTTTTTGTCAACAGTCAATGTGATGAATAAACTTGAAAAGAAGGAACTGGTGAACCAGAACAACGCAGATGTGAAGAAGGAGAGGAGCGTGGTGAGGAAGCTCTACCCGAACTCTCATCTGTTCACCAAGTGGGGGGACGATCTGTCGGAGGAGGAGCAGAAGGAGGCAGAGAGGTTGTTCCAGAGCTACGGATACAACGCCTTCCTCAGTGACCGGCTGCCCCTCAACAGAGAGATCCCTGACACCAGGCCAGCCAGGTGAGGATAACTTACTGTAAGAGATAATAAACTACTGATAGACCTGCCACACACCACTGGAGCCACATTGAGCTGCTTTATGGGGCTCCCTTATCAGAGAAACAAATGATGTTCCAGGAACAGGACAGGAACTCAGTTTATCTGTCTTTAATGGTGACCGAACAAACACACTTTGGACAGATAATAACACCCACTGATGAGATTATATGACAAATAATTAAATGTTACTACTTTCAATGTAGTAGAAAACAAACATTTACATTTTTGATTTCAGTTTAATGTCCAGATATCACATGAGCAATAGTTGATGAGGCTTTTTTGTGACTAGGATGTGACATTTGCTGGTTGTTAGTCTTAGTCTTTTGCAATATTAAGATAAATGTATTCGTTTTTTGGAGGTGCAGGTTGCACCAAACAAGTAACACAGATGTTAACTTAGGTCGCTCTTTAAAATTCACTATTTATTGACCTTTTGTAGACTCACTATACCTCTATTAATAAAGAAAATGATTAATGGATCAATCAATTATAAAGCTAATAGTTAATTGTAGCTCTTACTGAGATACATCTTGGATACAAACTTGTCAATCAGCATTTTTGTATGTAAATATATATTTAAATATCTATTATTAGGGACAAAAAAAGCAACATTTGAATTTTTTCCCTCTCAGGTGTGCTGATAAAAAATACCCTAAGGATCTGCCTTCCATGAGTGTCATATTAATCTACCTGGATGAAGCACTTTCTATCATCAAAAGAGCCATTCGCAGCATCATAGACAAGACACCAGCTCACCTGCTGAAAGAAATCATACTTGTGGATGATTACAGCAGTAACGGTAGGTCCAAGGTAGTGGATGTTTAAAGTTTCAGTTCACCCGAATTACTCAAGATATTATCTCTCCTACCCCAAGCTGTATGCAAAGATGGATAAAAGCAATCATCATCAAGCTCGCACATCTTCAACAATGTATCTTCACACAAATTCTTTAAAAATGCATGTTGTATGTCGTAAAAAGTCATAGCATGTTATGTAAAAAAGAAGTCTAACTGTACTATGTCGAAAATATGCAAGTAACGACATATGACGTATGTTTAATATAAAATAAACGACAAAGTATAGTATGTTGAATATTCACAAAAAACGACAGTAAAGTCAGTCGAAAATATGCAAAAAAGCAATATTGTATAGTATGTCGAATATAAAAAAACAAACATAGAGTAAATCGAAAATATGCCAAAAAAACGACATAGTATGTGGAACATTTCAGAAAATAGCGACATAGTATAGAATGTCAAAAATATCAGAAGAAAACAACATGTGTGAAAATGTCATTAAAATAAAAAGTGTTTGAGGTTAAAAGTTGTGTCAGAGGTGTTTTGACTTGACTGGTGAGCCCCCCCCCCCCCGGCTTTGCGACCTGCTACTGTTGGTGGACTCGGTGAAGAGTCAAACCGACCCTTCTTTAAACACAGTCTCATCTACCATGCTTATTTGGGGTTGTTTTATGCTGCGTTATGCTCATTCATAAAAAACATGTGCATTTATGATCAATTTGTTCACAAGAACACAACATTGTTAAAAATAAGTGACTTGCAGAACAGCTGAAGCTCGCATCAATGTGTCCATCGTAAAGGGCGTATTATTTTTGTACACATACTGGAAGTTTACTTCTTTCAATGGCTTCTATATTGTGTGACCCTTTGACTGCACATCAATGCAGGATTGTAACATTTGATTGGACAAGTGATTAGGGATTTGTTGGATGATTGTTTGATTGATATGGCCCGTTGGAATGAATCTACCTCTCAGATTCCTCTCTTTTACATTTGCAGAAGATTTAATGGAGAAACTGGATGAATACATAAACTCTATCCACGAGGAGCGTCCAGCCCTGGTGAAGAGAGTCCGTCACTCCGAGCGGCTCGGCCTCACTCAGGCCAGACTCTCGGGGTGGAAGGTTGCTGTGGGGGAAGTGGTGGCCATCTTGGATGCTCACATAGAAGTCCATGTTGAATGGTAGGTCTAAGCCATAGGATTTGTCACACCTCAGTTTTCATCTCTCTGCGTAAAACTCTGTGTTTCTGAAAACTGTGTCTAGGGCAGAGCCCATGTTGGCTCGGATCAAAGAGGACCGCACCGTGATACTGACACCAGTGTTTGACAAAGTTAATTACGACGACCTGAAACTTATCCCCTACATACCAGCTGCGGATGCCTTTGACTGGGCTCTGTGGTGCATGTACGAGTCCTTCAGACCCGAGTGGTATGCTTTAAAGGACGACTCACTGCCTGGAAAGTAAGTTCAGGAGCAGCTGCCAGGGAAATCACACACACAAAAACATTCTTCCACACTTAAAGGTCACCTATTATGCAAAATGTATTTTTTCATGTCTTTCATACATAAATATGTGTCCCCTCTGCATTAAGAGATTCGGAAAGTTTCAGGTAAAAATATTCTCTCTCTTTTTGTCCTGATCAATCTATATAAAAACCTGTCTGAAAAGCTGATCAGATTTTGGCCACTGGTTTTTTGGCTTGTGTAACCATTAGCCAATAACCAACCAAGGTAACACCCGCCCACCTTATAACCTGAATCTCCTCCTAGAGCACCGTTGTTCCTTATCAAACCAAACCCTTTGCAGAGGGGGGTGGCAGTTCATTTTCATTTAAACATACAGACAGAGAATCAGCACTTTTAGAACAGGGCTGAAACAGAGGGGATTATGGGATGCAACAATGCATGCCATAAACATGTTTTGTATATATCTGAGACTTATAATATATTGTTGAAAAATAGTATAATATGTGACCTTTTTAAGTAAAGTCTGACAATTTGGGAAAATGTATTTGTCAAGTAGAGCTTGCTACCAGACAAGGTTTTTATGGCACATAACCCCAGAACAACTTTTTTACCCTTTTTTACTTGTTTCAAAATGTACTAAGAACACAGCCAAAACATGAGTGAGTTTTAGAGGTGAACATTTATACGTAAGGCTTTATTGGACTATAAGAATTAAAAGGTTAATTTGTTATCATTGAGAGTCACAGGTTGTCATAGGAGGATTAAGTGCAGTCTTACTACTACAACGCCAGGTCAATGTTTGTACTGTCAACAGACTGTTCACGCCCTGCAGATTTGTTTTTGTTCCAGCTAGTTGTTTTTCCATTCAGTAGAACGTCAAAATGGGAGAACCATTAGAACAACATACACATATTTATCTGTATGCTAACGATGTTGACACTGTCGATATTTCCTTTACCAGTGTCAATGTTATAAGTATCACTTCAAAAATATTGGCCTTGGCTGCAGAGGATATAATAATTCTCAAAATGTCAGTCAAGGAAAAGAAAACTGCACGTGGCTTAAAATAAATATCATATCATTTGTTTGAAGGAAGTGACTCATGAACCACTTTACTTACTCTGATATCTGAAATGCATTGACCATGGATGAAGTATAGCTGGTGTTTAATTTCAAAATCTTAACGAGACAAATTGTGACGTGTAGGAGCCCGGCCATCATGGGGATTCTTGTAGCTGATAGCAAGTTCTTTGGAGAGATCGGAAGCCTTGATGGTGGAATGAAAATATACGGCGGTGAAAATGTGGAACTCGGCATCCGGGTGAGATTTTCAGGGAAATTTAAATTGACACTATTTTTAAGATGCTACTCCATTGCAATGTTAATATCGGCAAGGAATCAGCTAATATAATACAGTACATGTGTTTTAATGTGTCTAGAATGACCCATTAATGCACTTTTTAAATATTTGACCTTTCGTGTCTTGGCAGGTGTGGCTGTGTGGAGGAAGCATAGAGGTTATTCCTTGCTCTAAAGTTGCCCACATTGAACGAGCCAGCAAGCCTTACCTCCCTGATTTGAGTGGAATGATGAGGCGTAATGCTCTGAGGGTGGCCGAGGTGTGGATGGATGACTATAAGAACAATGTCAACATTGCCTGGAACCTTCCCTTCGAAGTAAGGGGATGACACCTGAATAAAAACGATATATTTTTAAAACTACATCTTATATCCTTAAACTGTAGTTCCTATACTTTTTTGTGACCTTTTGTTTCCTCACAGAATCATGGGATAGACATTGGGGATGTGTCGGAGAGGAAAAAGCTGAGAGAGAGGCTGAACTGCAAGCCCTTCCAGTGGTATCTGGATAATGTTTACCCCATGCTAGACCCTTTGAAGGACCTGCTAGCTTATGGAGCGGTGAGTAGGAAACAATATCAGATGGCATGCTTTAGAAGGCTTTGTTAAGGATTAAATGAATATATTTTAGACATTTTTTCACAACTAAATTGTCTCCACGTCTATCAGAAAGTAGCAAGTCTGTATTTGATTTAACATTGTCATGCTAAGTGGTGGTTTCAAATATGTGTAGTTTTTACCCAATGTCAGCAGGGGCAAACATCTACATGTACTGTATGGGTTGAGACTAAGATTGATTTAGATTTTTTTTTTTTTACAATTTGGAATACATTTGAGAGGCCTAAAGAGGGAAACTATTCAATACCTCACAAAAGGACTGATTAGAGAAACCAAAATAATTGTTTATGTGTTGTGTTTGTGTGTTAAATTCCGTGAACCATCTTTGTAATCCACCTATTTAAATGTTAGAACTGTGCTAGACTCTGTCTGTATCTACAGATTTACTCTCTGGAAGATAATGATTTTTTTTGTAGGAATCATAGTAAAACAACCTGAAATTGTCTAAAATGAAAAGATAAGCCTGGTGGAATTCTATATTCTTCTTCAAATCCCATTAGAAAAAATAAAACCACATATCAGGACATACCCCTGCTTTGGTATTTGGTATTCATAAAGAAAAAAAATATGAGGCTGGAGCCTGATTTTTTTTTTTTTTTTTTTTTTCTTTTTTTTCTTTAACGTCATACTAACTATCTCTGCTTCTGTTTGCAGCTTGTTAATGATCTGATGCCTAAATTCTGCATTGACCAAGGCCCAATGCCTGGGAACACTCCCATTGTATATGGTTGTCACTACCAGTTCAGCCAGGTATGTTCAAAGTCCACTGTATGCACACAGACACTAATTCAGTTTTGGTTTTGGATTATAATAGCTTTTTGTTGTAGCACTGTTATTATCGCACCAATGGACAACTGTACATCGGTGGAATAAAATCTCACAAGTACAACAGCAACCGCTGTCTGTCGGACCCCGGCTCCGGAGTCCATCCAGGACTGTATGAGTGCAAAATGGCCGAGCAGAAGAAATTCCACATACTGTGGGATTTTAAACAGGTACTTTTTAATACAATTTGAATACACATATGCACAAAAGAGGTCAGTCTTTTTGGAGGAAAATAAATATGTTTTTTTTCCCAGGATGGAGCTATCCAGAACAGAGAAACAAAGAGGTGCCTAGAAATAATGATGGCTGGATACAGCAATTATAAACTGGTTGTTCAGCAGTGCACCAGTCAGAGATGGAAAATACAACATCTCATCAAAGGCCAGCTTGGTGGGCAGGGTTCAGAAGACAGGATGATAAAGGAGCCATGACAATCTGCAGCTCAGTGAAACACACGTTTGCTTTTGGGGCAAGTTTACATTTTTGCTTTGGACGACTTGGATCTACGAGAGGCAAACTCTGTGACAAAATGTATTTAAATGATTGTTTTCGAAAAATATAATATTGTGACAAAAAATGAACTACTAAATGAATGGTCATTTATTTCATTAGTTTTGAAAAAAATGTTTTCGCTGTGAACATTTGCTATTACCTTTTCTTTGTGCGGAAAACCCTATTTATGAGAGGAAAAGATTGGCAGTAAACGGCTTTTAATATTCCCCACAGTACGTCTGAATGGCTAGTTCACTCAAATTCCTTTTGTTTAAAAAAAAAAATGCATACCTTAATACATCGGACAGGAACATCCTGAGGGTATGTTTTCAGCCAATCAATAACACAAACAGTAGTTCCAATTGTTTGAATACAGGCCTAAAGATGTTTGCTGTAGCTAATCGCTTTGACAACAATAATTCAAGTTGATCAGGATCCGTTGTGTGTTTTTTGTCATGTGTGTTTAAAGATGAAGGCGTCCCATTTTCTCTGCCACATGACGACACCTGTGTCCTTTAGATGGGCTGGCAGGGAGCTGTACCTGCAGGCAGAAGACATTTCAACACTTTAACATCATTAGGTTGATTGTAGGCTAAACATATCAATGTTTCTCAACCATAAAGTAGAAATCACGTCCTATAGCAGGGCTTTTTTCACTGAGGGCCACATACAGAACAACATATTAAGGGCTGGGTAAGTGAGGTATATTGCCACATAAGTTATAAGATAGCAAAATCAATCAAATGCAGGTAAATTGTGCTTGATACTTGAATGTGCTTTAGGCTACATCACAACTTTCCATTGGGTTTCATTTATTTTTTACAAAAAGTGTACAACAGAAGCCTCAGATTGCTTATAGGAAGGGTACTGTATGTTTCACACTTGTTATGTAAATACGTTTTATCAATAAGATATGTTTGAATATTTTTTCAACTTTAATTGACTGAATTTATTTGAAAATTGTGTAATATTTATATATATTTCAGAAGTACAATATAAGACAATCACAAGTTTCATGTATAGGCCCATTTCAAAATGGATCATGGATCGCAGTTGGCCCCCAGGCCATAGTTTGGACCCCCCTGTCTTACAGCCTTTGTTTTTCCCACTGAAGGGATACCATTTATGCAATACAGTAAAAATGGGGCCTGAGAGAGATCAAATCAACGGATTCTCACCTGATGGAGTTCAGAGCCAGCTCTTTCAGAGTACCCAAGTTTGCTTTTAACCCTCCGATGCCAACAAAGGCTTCATAGAAGTCGTAGGAGAGGCCCGTGGTGCCGAACAGAGATGGGTCATCGGAGCTGATCACCATCGGGTGGCCCTCCGACATCAGCACAGCGGCAGGGTGGTTCCTCAGGTCCGATACCAGTTTCAGCACCTCAAGGGCAGAACACATTCAGGTTAATAACATATGGAAACAGGTGCTGGTGACTTCACTACACGTGCACACTTATTGGTGCGTTCCAGAGAAGTCTGCGAGAGTCCAAACGTTTTGTGGACTTCCAGAGAGTTCGCTTGGATTGGAGCCCAAAAATGTACCCAGAATCCAAAATAGAAATTGTTGTAATCATAAGTATTACTGTAACTTCATTCTCTGTTTTTTCCCCACGGTTTGAATTCACATCTAGCCTCTAATTTCCACTTCCTTAGAACAGACAAAAGGCTGTCTCTACAACCATTGGTTTGTGATGAACATGTATGCAAGTTTCAACCATCTGGTGAACACTTCCTGTAATGTAAATTCGCTTGCTGAGGACCTTCCCCTTCCCTCCTTCTGTAATGTATAAAGTGTTTGTATTTTCTGTTGTATGTGGTCAGATCTTGTACGAACTTTTTGGTGCAAGACTCTGGCCTTTCAGCTGAAATAGGTTAACTCTGTTAAATGCTTTTTGACTTTATTAAATAATAAAACTTCGCTTTAAACTTCTATTATTTGTTAATTTCTTGCCAAACAGGTTGTTTCTGTTTTTGTGTGGAATTTCCTCCACACAAATTATCTTTAGCATAGTGCTATTTATCAATTTTGATTATGATTGAGTGTTAGAGATAGTGGCCGCAGAGGTGTCTGCCGTCTCTCCAAAAAACAGACTCAAATTTTTCTCCATGGTTTCTCCATCATGCCAATGAAATGGGTTACCATCTCACCTGGTTTGAGATGGGGCACAGCTCCACAGCTACGTTTCTTTTCCTAGAAAGCTCTTTGGCCAGAGGATGGTGTGCCAAAGCAAAGCCATGCCCGATGCGTGTGGTGTTGAACAGAAGGGCGTCCATTAGGTTTTGATCTACGTCAGTGCCTTCCTCATCTAAAAACAAACAATCATATTTCGACAGATTCATAAAGCTGGGAAATATTTCAGTTTTTGTTAATAAAAATGATGTATTTAGTGCTTTTGAATCTAACCACCTGTTTCGCCCGCGTGAAAGAAGTACGGCAGTGTGACACCCATCTCAGCTGGCAGAGAAAGAGCGTCCCTGAAGTACCACAGAGTCCTCCCACTGTCCTCCCTGCCAACCTGAACACATACTGGAAACTCAGGGAAAGGCTAATTATGTCACCACAACAAACAAGATAAAGTGGTCCCTTAAAAAGCGCTGAATGTTCAGTTAAATATGAGGTTTAATAAGACGGATCTCTTCTTACTGTACCATGTCAAATCCTGCAACAACATCTGGGAAGTCCTTCTGCAGCTGAATGGCTTCTTTCACAGCTGCTTTCACCTCAGATACACTCAGAGCCCTGGAGGAAGCAACAACGAAAATACACAGAAATCATTCAGTATTTGACTAGAAAACAATGAGACTACTGTGCAATTTTACTTTAATATGATAAGAGAGCCATCTCATTAATCTTCTGAGGATTTTCTTTGTATCCAATGTTAGCTCTGGTGCTTCTTTTTTGTATTTAGAGCCGTTTATGTACTGCACACAAGTAGGGAGACAACATACTAACAGCTGGTGCATCTGTTATATAGCAATGTCGCCACAAAAATCCTTTCAACATCCAGAAATATGGTACCGACAGAATAACACTTAATGAGAAACATTATAAAACTGTTTTTGGATGATAAGTATTAAATTGGTGAAGTGACCTTTTAATAAAACGAAATGTCTGTTTCCAGAGAACAGCAAATGCAATCATTGAGAGATAATAAATGTAATAATAGCTTGAGAAGGATTTGTCCAACATGGTTATAGTTCCCAGTTTGTTAATTGAAAAAGTAACCATCTTATTAACTACTTAAAATCTGTGTCTAACGTCAACATTCTTATTCTAATTTCTACATCAACTACAGTACATTTAAAAGGAAAATATTGTACTACTATCATATAAAGTATTTTGGACATTGTTCGCATCTCTCAAATTAAGCAAATAAGGAGTAATTGTGTATTACAATTAAAAAGTTGAAGTATTTAGAGATGACTTAAATATCCGTACCTGTGCACAGAAATGATGATACGAGCCCCGAGAAAGTCCGGATGATCCTCTTTAAATGTCCTTGTAACCTCTTGAAATGTTTTCAGAGCCCACACCTTATCATGAATGCTTCCATCAAGCTCATACGTCTGAAACACACAAATGAAATGTCCAGATGTACACTGAACAAAAATATAAACGCAACACTTTTGTTTTTGCTCCCATTTTTCATGAGATGAACTCAAAGATCTAAAACATTTTCTATATACACAAAATAACCATTTCTCTCAAATATTGTTCACAAATCTGAAAAAATCTGTGATAGTGAGCACTTCTCCTTTGCCGAGATAATCCATCCCACCTCACAGGTGTGGCATATCAAGATGCTGATTAGACAGCATGATTATTGCACAGGTGTGCCTTAGGCTGGCCACAATAAAAGGCCACTAGTAGACAGTAGTGACGGCCATCTTGGTGACGTGTGTTGTTGTGGGAGACCAGAGATGTAGTTCATTGAGCGTTTCATACAAACAAATGTGTTACTTCACAGACACATTTCCTTTTTTTTGACTTGCAAAATTATCTTTTAAATTGACAAACATCATATGTGTAATTCGTGGCACAATTCAAACGGGATCGAAAGATAATCTTTCTCTCTCCATTGACTTCAATACATAATTATTTCGAAATAAGGTCCCATGGAGGTCCACCGGAAGGGGAGGGACTTTGCCACTCTATTGGCTAGCTCTTCAATGCATTGGACTTGATAGGCTAAGGGGCGGGACATCTCTAAGCAGTTGACCAATCACAACAGAGCCAGCCTGCTGACCAATCAGAGCAGACAGGGCTCTGGTTTCAGACAGAGGGTGAAAAGAGGTGCTGCAGCACAGGCAGTACGAGGAAAATAAAGAGCTTTTTGAACATTAAAGCATGGAGACATGTCACAAGAGGCACAAAATACTAATATGAATCTGAAAATGAGCATAAAAGGGCCACTTTAAAATCGAAATGGGTGAGGTAAAAAAGTAATTGATGTCAATGCTCTTACTGCTACCAATACCGCTAATATGGCTCTGGAGCTAGGGATCAGGTGTAAATAAAGCAACACACACCCGGGAGAGGCCGCTCCTCAGCTCCAGATACATGATGTTGTCTTGCAGCAGCTCTTCCAGGCCTCTATAGAAGTAATCCGTCAGCACGGGCGCGTGGCTGATGAGCCCCGCAGCAGCGATGAAGGCTTTCTCAAACTTCTCCCACACAACCTCTTGGCTCGGATACTCCCCGTCCGGGTCCTCAGTGAACAGTGTGAGGTGCTGCATTAAACTGAAACACACCCCAAACAGATCATCTGGGTTACTTTCTCCCAATATAGTTATTTCAAAGGCTTTTTTATCAATTCCATTTAAATGTGTTGCTTTTTCTGAACATTCCTGTGTCACAATAAATAACGCAAAAAACAACAACATACAAGTGACAATAAAAGATTAAAAACATTTTGAAATAGAAACTCAATGAGATGGACAGGAAAAAACACCAATAATAGAGAGAAGAAAATATAAACAAAAGAAAGAAAATAGATAAATTTAAATAAAACTAAATTAAATAAGATGAAATAAAACTAAAATAAAAATACATTAAATAAGATAAAATAAAAATATAAAGAAATACATT